ACTGGGAAGTTTAAAGTGGAAAGTTGTTGGTTTTAAACCGTAAAGTTGTAGGTGTTTTTTCATGGCCTCAATGCCAGTGACAGCTGCGTGATCTATGCCGCCGCCGTGTTCTTTTTTTTCTTTTTCTCTCTCTCTCTCTCTGGCTGCTGAGGACAGATGCTGCAGGAGTCTCGGAGAGTGGGGCTTCCCCGCGCGCCGGTCTGCGTCTCTCGGATGAATCCGAATTTCCGCCGGTGTCACAGAAGTGCGAGTGACGGGGGCCACCGCCGTAGGCTGGTCACGGTGGGGACATGCTCTGCTCTCTCCTGCTGTCTTTCTTGGTTATCTATTATCATTTCTTTTGTCTCTTTTGTGTCCTCTTCAAGGTGTAAAGTTGTATAAAGGTGAAGACGCAGGGTCTGACTGATTAACATTGCAAGCACCGAAAGTTAGCCAAAACAGTTAGCCCTCAGTGGGAGGGGGTGGGCCATCTTTAGGGACATTATGACGATGCTAGATTTCTCGCACTTCAACGTGGTTTCATGCCGAGACGTACAGTCAGTTGTCTTCAATACGAGGGTGAACACGCGAGCACAGACCGATTGGTGCCGCGTGCACCTAATGGCGACGCCTCCGCGAACGACAAGAGAAGTAGGCGCCTGTGCAAAAAGAACAGATGCACCATTGCAATAGTGTCCTTGGCTTTGAAGCTTCAATAAGCCGTCGGCTGTTGGCTGCATTTTCGGAAAGACGAATTTTACTGTGCAGTTTGCAATTCAACATGTTCATGAGTGTGTTATCTCGCCCTTCAACATGTTCATCAATGGTGGTCGTAGAAGTAAGATTGCATAATCAGTGTCGCTCGAAATCGGCAAAATGGAGCATATGTGGAATTACATTGCCACACTGGTCACACAATCGATAAATGTGTGCAGCAACTTGTCCAGCAACTTTCGGACTTGCATGCAGAAGAGGGCAGCACGAGCTCTTGTAACGATGCATCCATTCTTTTTATTTGGATGCTTACTTTCCTCGCGATTCATAGAGACACCACTATTATACTGCATTCACTCATAAGCTGACAGTGCAGTGGGAGCAATAAACTCGCTGGACCAATTAACCGCCTCCCTTTCATCGCCTGACCCTGCTCTCTGCACGCAGTAATGGCAGGCAGCGTGGTCATGTAACAGAAGATCGACATACGACTGATCCAATGAGCACGTAGCTTTCACTGCACTGTCCGCTTAGTGGTGCTTCCAGTATCTACCTGTCAACACTCGTGCTCACTCTCATATTATGGACTATTTTACATCTAGCCGTAAAGAAAAAAACTTTTGTAAAAAAAAAGGGAGGGGTTACGTATTGTCCCTGAAGATGGCCCGCGCCCCACTGAGGATAAGCTGTTGGCCAACTTATGGCGTGTTACCGAAACGGCTTCTGAAAACTGCTCAATTGGTACTCTTATCTCCCCATGTGTCAACTGCTTCTCGCTACGCCACGAATAGGACTTTATTTTGCAAGACGGGCAATGACTTGGTTCATCCGCTCCTTTTCTAAATACCTCTAAGGGGCGATGGCTGTCAATGTCGAAGCGCGGGTTGCCTGTTCCGTTGCACAGATTGTCCACTCGAATGTAGATGTGCCAAATGTGCAGAGCACAATTTTCTCTGGTGCATGTGCTCTGCCCCAGTGATGCTCAGGTACACATTAGCTCACGTTGCATTGTGGGTGTTCACCTCTGTCGAAGCACTATCGAAGGCAGTACGCTGGTACTGGATATGTGGAGCTGGAAGGCAACTTTACATCTTTCTGGCATTAGTAGTATTTTGCCGCTTCTGTGTAGTCTGTTAGACGTGAGGAAAGACTTAGTATACTATAATAAAATCGTAATGTCCACCTTAGTAAAGGTATCTTCTAATATCGGTGCCTTATGGACACCTTTATATGGATATAACAGCCTCGCAAGATTACTAGTGCAGTTTTACTGTTTCATTGTTAACTAATAGAGAGGTAGAACTAAAATTTCGTCAGGGGCAAGGGGCCTTATCCATACAGTGGTCATTTTGGGCGTGTGTGCGGTTGCTGTGGTAACAAAGTCATCTCAGTGCCTTATGGACACCTTTATATGTATATAACAGCCTCGCAAGATTACTAGTGCAGTTTTACTGTTTCATTGTTAACTAATAGAGAGGTAGAACTAAAATTTCGTCAGGGGCAAGGGGCCTTATCCATACAGTGGTCATTTTGGGCGTGTGTGCGGTTGCTGTGGTAACAAAGTCATCTCAGTGCCTGTCACTGTTATTGCATCACATGTCAGATGCCATCCTCAACGATACGAATAACATAGAGTGAACAATGACCAGCAGGGACATGCATCGTACGTTGCGAATGCTCTTTGAACTGTTGCCACCGGAGTCGGCACATGCACAGAATGTCACCCATTATAAACAGGTGCAGTGCATTCCCCTTGTCTTTTTGTCGCTCACCCCAGTGGCAGCGCTTCCTAGGTCAGCCCCAAGGCATCGCCTGTGTCCTATATGTCGACACTCACTCGATGTCATTCGTAGGCACAACGATCGCTCGTCGGCTTAACTTTACCTACAATAATTATTATGACTGACTTTCTGCCTATTTCATTGTCGTTTTGATGGCTGCAGCTTTACTGGCCTTTAGCATGGGGTCCTGTCTGCATGTTAAAAGTGCATGTAGGAGGGTTGCCTGGCACTCGTATTTCATGATACTCCATTTGTAACTGGAATTAAGACCTTCGCTGTTGTGTTATATGTTCAAGGAGCTAATGTCCTCCTTTGGGGTGTTTATTTTTCTTTTTCTTAGGAGTAATCTTGAAAGAAATGTGAGGCGAGCTCGCCTCGTGGGAGGAAAGAAAACGGACTGCGAGGAGGACCCGGAATGGCCCACCAGGGACTTCTGCCACCTCGGTGGCGGCAGCGAAGAAGGCGACGTGCACACAGAAACGGCTTGATTTGTTTTCGTTAGTTACTTTGTTTTGTTTTATTTCCCTCTCCAGTTACCTTTCAACAATCTCATTTCTAAAAAAAAAAAAGGCAGAAAAAAGTTATATTTGTGAGATAAAAAATCTTCCCACGTCCATCTATACGAGGAACACCTCACCGACATCTTGGTTTTTGTTCTTAAACATAAAATGACAAAAGCGACAAAAAAAAAAAAAAAGCCAAACCTGCCGAGCGTTGTTGGGCGTAGTAGGATCTTTGTCGGGTGTCTGACGGGAACGGTACCGACCGTAAAGGATATTACGACGATTCTCTACTTTTTCTTTTCTTGGTTCTTGGAAGTGTCAAGGTTTATCAACAGCACTTGGCTTTTTGGCTCGCGTGGGTCCGATAGGCCGGCACAATTTTGCCAAGGTGCAATGCACGGGGATGTGGCCAGAGCAGAGAGAAGTGGTGAATGTGAGCAAAGCGGTGTTGTTGTTTGGATAACCTTTTGGCAAAGAAACAAGGAGACGTTGGATATGGAGTTTCGTGTTGCCCTCGGCTCAGGGCGCAGACGTGTACACAGAGTTGCCACCTTTTTACTCCAGAACGGAGATTTTTGTCAGCGTGGCACACCATTTCCCCCCACCCCCCTCCCCCCTTTCTGCTCTCTTCCGACACGCAAGAAGATTTATCCCTAAAAGCTGTACATATAGTGAGCGTGGCGCGTCCTTTTGTATTTTGTTATTCATGTAAGTACACTCACTCCCCTTGATGAATGTTGGAAGAAAAAAAAAATGCAATAAAAGTGTCGAAAACAGCTGTTCTTTGCCTTGCTATGTTTCTTGCATTAGACTCCTTTCGAAAGTTGTGTGCCGATTGTTAGGTCTGAACCACTGCACAGTAGCGGGACAACCGACTCCGTGGAACATTTTGCAGAGGATAGAATTTTGAAGGGGGTCTATAATATACAGCGTTAAGGAAAGAAGTGGGCTGAAGTTTGGTGGATACTTACTTGGAATTGCTACCCTTTATCTCTGAATAGACTATTTCCGTAAATCTGTCACCGTGCACGTTGCATTCCAGGAACCTGTGGGCCAGGAGGGGGGAGTGGATTTTGCTTCCCACTGACTCCCACAATGCATCACGTGGCATTATGCCGCGCTGAGGCTCTGAGTTTTGAAACGAGTCCATTGATCAATTAAATTTAGTACTTCCTTGCCTGTGATGCAAGCTGGAGGGAGAAATTGCTGAAGTATCTTTCTAAAATAGCCTTCTGCAATGTGTTCAGGTGTTCAGCATTTGTTTGAATTCTATTGCAAAGCTTTGATAAATTGTCTTATGCCGAGTCAATAATGATTCAGTGGCAGGAAGGAGGAGGAATAAACTTTATTATAACTTGAGGAGACGAAAGCTTGTGGGTCGTCCCCCAGGTGGGGGCTGCCTCAGTCCAGGATGCCATGGTCCCACGCTGCCAGTCTGGCCCTGTTCACCAGTCGGGACCGGTCCTCGGGTTTTGAGCTGGTCAGCTGGTCCTCCCACTGCTCCGCGGTTGGTCGGAAAATTGGGGGTATGAAAGTGTTGTGCTTGCACTCCCATACCATATGGTAGAAAGTAGAAAAAAAAAAAAAGATTCAAAGGGGTTTTAATGTTATCTCTAAGACGACTTGAAGGCGCAAGCCCAAGCGCCGATGCATGAAGGACAGACACATGCTTTACTTTAATTCAATTAAATTAAATTCCTCTTAATTTCATTGCCTCTAATTCGCCTGAGTGGTCACGTAAACGTTTTGGTACCTTTCGTGTCGACGACGTGTTTTCGCTCGGGAGCTTTAAAGGCCGAGTAAACGATGCGACATACAAGCAGCGAGTTTGAAAGTTCAAATACCCAAGGTAAATAAATCTGAAAAAATAAATTCGTTAAGTTTTATAACTTCACCATCGCGCTCACGTCGAACTAAATCCAAGGTAGTTTCGGTTTTTAGCATATGGCCGGCCGCACGCTCCATCATAGTGATGGCCGCTAGGGAGCGGTGTCGGCGGCGTGTGCGGCTCAATTTGCGACCTGCGTTCGAGATTAAGACAAGATGGCCGCAGCTACCAACTTCAGCCGGACTAGAAAAAATGAAATTCATCGCGTTTGTTTCATTCATTGAATGACCGCTTCACTGCCACCGTCGAAACTGAACCTCACTTTCAGAAGAACGGACTCAGCCACGAACGGTCCAAAATGGTGAGCCACTTTCCGTGCAATCCTGTCAGACCAGCATCGTTTGTCCAACCTTGGGACGTGTTGGGGGGGAAAAAAAAATATCTCAACTTGCGCTGAGTCACCACCAAAACATTGAGCACTTTTTCCATGTTTCCTCCTCAGATTCTTCGCGTACAGTCGCCCGACGGGACCAAGAGGGTGGAATGCGACTCCAGTGACAGCACGGCCCTGCTTTATGATAAGGTGATCGGCGTATTTGCTCTTCGCTAACGTAGTTTTCGCCCTCAACGATCGGCGCCACCCGTAGCTCCGTGCCGGCATCCGTTGTATTTTTATTCATAAGAGCTTTGCGCGTTGTTTTGATCTCCGCAGATCCAAAGTGCCTTCAACTTGCCTAGCGTCTTCTGTTTCGCGATCTACAAATGCCGCGACAAATCCAAGCCGATACCGTCGCAAGAGCGCAAGCATCTCTCGGTGTACAGTCTCAAGTAAGTCCAAGTACCTATTTTTCTTTTTCTTTCCGAATTACTTATTGTTTTGTTAGAAATTTGACGCCTATTTTGACCCGAGTCTTGATCACGACATGGAAACCCTAATCGTTACCGGTCTGTACATCAGCCGAGTCGACTTAGACAAATTTCCCTGGCGGGGAACTTTCGGTAGGTTCTTACATGTAATATGCGCTCAGCAATTCAACAAATTTCGCGACGTGTTGTTTTGTCTATTTTTTTGTCGGGAATATTTTATTACTTTGCTGCCAAGTCAACGATAGGTTGGGAAAGGTTTTTGTCCTAAGAGAAGCTATTTGCATAAGATCAGGCAAATTTTTGTGTGCCAGGAATCTAAGCATGCTTCAGTTATTACCGAATTATAAAGATAAAGTTCTGAAACTATGCTAGGTTCAGCTTGAGCATTGAGTATCAGTTTATACAACAAATGCTCTGTTGTGTGACCCAAAGGGGAGTTTTGACAACTGGTACCATACCTTACGCATCGTAATTTTTACGCAGTGTGTAGCGTTACGTCCGACGGAACTCGAAATAACAATTAAAGTTACTTCTGACCGAACTCCAAATAATCAGTAAAGTTAAGTCGAACGGAACCCTAAATAAAAGTTAAAGTTACGTCCTGTGTAACCTACGCTTATGTTTCGCTTTACGGCCGATACATGACGTAAATACAAAAATATTGTGATTATTGCGTTAAGTACGATGCAGCATTTGTGAATCGGTTAAAATCTCAACTCTATCCACGATTCTCAGAAAGCGTCGCAAGACATCGTCTTAAAGGGAGGAAAAAAAAAAAGTGTCTTAAAGAAAGGGAAAATACGAGAAAGGAAAAAAAAGTAATGTGACGGGCATTTTCATTTTGAGTGCCGTCGGACGTAACTCGAAATTTTGGGGTAAAGTTACGTCGGACGTTAATATAGTTTTTATTTTGAGTTGCATCGGACATAACTTTAATTTTCACATTGAGTTACGTCGGACGTAACTCGAAACCTTGGGGTAAAGTTACGTCGGACGTAACTCTAATTTTTATCCTGGGTTTCGTCTAACGTAACGCTAGACACTGTAATTTTTACACCATCAAAGTCACAATTTTTTTTAGGAGTGTTACAAGACAAATGTTGGTGCCCCTGTAGCTTGTTTCACTCTACTATGTGAGCAAAGCAGGAGTTAGGCGCACAAGCATTTTGGCCTGAATGACACTTGCACTGCATGAGTGTGCGCGCTTGGCAGGGCCACTATAAGCTCAGAGCCCGCTCTTGTGGCTTCTCTTGTGCCTGCACCAGGGTGGTAAAGTACCCAGGTACAAGTAATTGGAAATTGGTATCTATGTACTTTTGTTGTACCTGAGGTACAAACCCAGGTGCTTTCATTTCTCGGTATCTGTATCCTAGGTACATTTTCTAGTAACTTGTTACTAAGTGCAGTTACTTTTTACATGTATTTTTCTATTCACTTCGTCGAAATGGTAGGAACTGTAAATCTTGAATTGTTAACACACTACCATGTGCCGTGATTAACGTTGGGTTGGGTACGACCTGGGAGGCACCGACTTGATGGAACGACGTTTTAATGAATGAAGCCCCGCCCATATTGTTTTATCGGTTGACACTTTAGCGAATGGCGATGTTCATTTGAGCAAATGGTGGATTAGTGATGCCGTTTTAGCAACACAAATTTATTGGATTGCTTTGGAACTCTGTTTATTGAAAATAGCGACCTGATCCTTTCATCTCAAACCGAAATTGATTTCATTGCATGTTTGAAGCTCCTCTGACAGCTATACAGGGGAGGAGATAACTCGAAAGATGTGCACAGGTTTTGTTAAAGCCCCTGTATCTGGGAAAAGTGGCGCATTCTCTTCCTTCCTCCTAAACTGCGATTGAAGATGTCAGATAAACACTTCGAGGAGGTCCTAATTCTAAAGTCAAATAGAGCACTTAAGGGAAAAAGATAATGTGTCCTGGAATGCTCATGTGAATGCAATTTTCCTCCTCACGCTTACACCAACAAGGCACATTTATTGAACTTGTTTTTGTTTGTATCATTAGTATAAAAAGCTTTACTTCCAATATATTCCAACAAATTTGGGGGAAATAAGTGAAGTATCCTAGGAGTAACTGTACCTGTACCTAGGTACATTTTTAAGCAAGTACCTAGGAACCTTTTCATGTGGGTAACTGTATCTTAGGTACATTTTTGAAGTAACTTTTACAACCCTGGCTTGCACCTAAAATGAAACGAAGTATTGTGTGATTAGCAAGGCCACGTCCCATTCAAGACAGATTTACAAACATTTTACGTATAATTAGGCCATAGATTTTCCTGTGTTTATTTATAAGGGAAATCAGTGAATGGTTTTCTATATTTATTTATTTTTAAGATATCGGTGTATTTTCGTGATCTGCTTTGAACGAATGCTAAAAACTAATTCGTGGCATTAAAAACACATGAAAACCTAAGAATTCTGGTCAAAGAGCTAGGACGTTTTTTTGGTTTTGACCAAAAAAACGTCCTAGCTGGAGCAAAAATTTAATGAAATCGGTGTCTTTCGATTTGAACAGGTTTTGTATTTTTAACACATTCAAACGTTTAACAATGTTTTTTTTTTTTAAATTGCTTTTATAGTTTTTATATTGACGAATGTTTTTGTGTGTTTTTCTGACGAAACTGGAAAGTCCTTGGCCCACGTACAGCCTGTCACCGTGCATGGTTTTTGGCCCGCCGTATCAGTCGGGAACTGTGCTCATCCAGCCACGCGAAGTACCGACAAAATGCAGAGATGAACCGCGTTGCCACTTGTGACTGTCACAGGCACGGAGACATGCTGTACCTGGTATACACAGACCGGCTCACGAGCGACGGGGAGAAATCGACCAATCAGAATCAAATAGGCACCAAGCAATCGGATTCGGCGATGCCGGCGCAAGCGGCGGCAGCGGCGGGGCCGCCGACGTCTGGAGTTGTCGAGGACGAGGTGGATGTGTTCCTCAGCAAGCAGTCGGGCCTCATCGACCGTCCGCGTGATGAGAAGCTGTAAGTGCCTGCTACAGAATTTCTATAAATTGTTTGTAAAAGTTGTATAGAAACTGTAGCACCTTTGTTTGAGTTCTTTAAAATGTTTGCAGAAGTTCCATATAGCATTTCTGGGTGCATCGTTAGTTTAGCCCCGGTGTTACAGTACAAGCAACTTTGTCCAAATTACAAGCTAAAACCATACTTTTTGTGTAAGGCTTGTCAAGAAATTAGGCACTGGAGAAAATCAGCCATCTGCGTTAAGTCTTATTACTGAATCTTTTTGTACCCGTTCTGCCCATTGGGAAACACGGCTAAAGAGCCAAAGTACTCTCCTTATCTCGCCACCCCGCCGCTTCTTTAAGCTCTCTACGCACGATAAAGTCCGTCTGCTATAGTCACTGTCGCCATGGCAACGAAACGTTCCTACAAAAAAACGCGCGAACGCAGTGCCTGAAGCCAGCACCGGGAGACGCCATCTTTTGAAGGTCGTTTGCTGACATGAACCCGGCAACGCCAGCCAAAGTCAGACCTGCCTTTATGGAGGTCGACGCCGAAAACGGAGAGTGGTTGCCTGGCAAACCCTTGGCGATTCCGACGAGGCTTGGTACACGGTTGGGCCTGAGATCACGTTAAGGCTTCTCCGAGCAAAGCGTGGCGTGGCTGCATTGTGCGCGGTCGGCTGTAGATGGGTTCAGACGCTGCATTCGCGTGCGCTTATTGACATTCGGTGACCATATCAGACAGACTTTATTGTGCTGAAGGAGACAGTAGGGTGGCGTGATCAGGTAGGTAGTTGGGCTCTTTCGCGTTGCTTTGCAATGAACGGAACATGAACAAAAAGAGTTTGAGATAAGGACTAAATGCAGATGGCCGATTTTCTCCAGTGCCTACTATTTTTACGAGCCTAAAGGCTCGTAGACATTTGCGACCTCTTAGAACCAGGTGTCTCTTACAACAAGAGGACACACTGGCGCCACCTATTGGGTAGCAGTGTAAACTTGACGGTCTGGCATATTTTCTATTTCTCTCGCGCATTATACTTTCTTTCTTGTCTCGAAAAACTTCTGTTAATGCAAAATCTTTGCTCTTGTGAAACGCAGTTCCAGGGTCACCGCATAAATGGCACCAGCGTTCCAGTGTGTTCCCTCGTCCTAAGAAATTTTAAGAGGTTTTAACAGGTCTCGTCTCTTCCGGTCGTACTCAGTTGCAAGAGTGTGAACGAGCCTTTAAACGAGAAACATGTTTTTTTGGCCATCCGAGGGCTGGCTTTTATTCCCTGGAACATGGGGCTAAAGCATCAAACTGCCTATTTGTGAGTGCTGTTTGTGTGCAAGCATGATGCACTCATTTTTCTATGAGTTTCTATGAATGTTTGTAGGAGTTCTTTAGAACCTTTGCAGATGTGCTATGGGGCCTTTGTTGAAGTTCTATAGAACCTTTGTAGAAGCTCCATAGGACCTTTGTAGAAGTTCTGCAACACCTTTGAAGGAGTTGTACATCGTCTTTGAAGACGTTTGTAGAAGTTCTTTTGAACGTTTGTAAAAGTTATTTACAAAGTTTATCAAAGTTATGTAGAGTGTTGGTGGAAAGCCACCACATGTCCGGTTGACAGTAGAAGCTCTTTCAAACGTTTCTAAAAGTTATTTACAAAGTTTATCAAAGTTGTGTAGAGTGTTGGTGGAAAGCCACCACATGTCCGGTTTACCAGAGTGCAGCAGGACCTGTTGTTTTTAACCGAAACCTACTGTCTTTTTTCTTGAATATTCTGAAAGCAGCATTACAAAATAAAAAAGAAAATGAGCAATAGAAACACCAACATCTGTGAACGAAAGATAAAAAAAAATTGACCGCACCTCCACGTGGTGAATGATGTTGATTGGGGCGAAGCTCTGGTGGTGCTGATGATACTGATTTTGTTCATAGGTAGTGCTGATGGTGCTGAGTTCCGGGTTGCACTTCAACTTCATTAGCCATGCATGCAAAGTTTAGCGCGGTTATATACGCATTTGACCGCAGCGCCCTCTCCTGTATAGACGTTGAACGGCTACATGCAACGTTTTATCGATGACAGAAACCCCAGCTCTTGAGTTACTACCACATCTCAGAGCCCCTACTCGTCCCGCAATCATGGTCAAGTGGTTAAGGCGATGGACTAGAAATCCATTGGGGTCTCTCCGCACAGGTTCGAATCCTGTCGACTGCGCAAACATTTCTTTTTTTTTTAAGAAGACAGATGGGATGGCAATCGATGTGAGCACGGACGGCGGACAAGGCTAGACCCTAAAAACACGGCCTTACAAATAAGACACAGTCTTGTAGTCAGGTCATAAAGGCACCCGTTCACACACTTGTGACCGACTAGGACCGACTGAGATAAGACCGTTTCTAAGTCTCTTGTGACGGCATAGGACTGGATATGCTGCTGCAGAGCAGGTCCTAAGCCATCGCAAGAGGCTTAAGACCCGATCTTGTCTCAGCCTGTCCTACTCGGTTGCATCTGTGTGAACACGCCTTAAGCTAACATGCCACGTTTTGCTTTCCAAGCAACTGGTGCAGATAGTGTCGTGATTGGGATAAGTTGTGTGTGGGAGAGACTCGGTCCTTTTTCTTCATGTATAGTCAGGGACATTGGTTACCTTTCCAGAAGATCACACGAGGCCGCTTGGCGACCTCACGTTACACTGCACGGCGCAAGAAATTGTTGGGACGTGCCGATGTATGCTCAATCAGTTTGTGTGCTCCGTACATTCTGGAGGCAGCACAATCCCTTCTTTCTTACCTTTGCGAGTTCAGAATACAAAGAAAAATAGAATGAACGCTGTAACAAAGCCAATACGTCTCCAGTTTGTAATCGTCGTGCCCTTTGCATTCTAAAACTGCGACCGTACGTGCCACACACCGAGGGGACAACAGTAATTGAGGTTGCCAGGCCGAATTTCGAAAAGGTACTATGGCTGTGATGCGTCAGAAAGATGGTGCGGGTGCTGCATGTTTCCAGAACGGTCTACTGATACCTCCGTATGTAGTCTGTAGATAAAATAAGCAGCTGAGAGGTCTTTTTTCGCAGGTGCCACCACGGAACCAATGCCAAGTGTGTCCACTGCGCTCCACTCGAGGTCAGTGTCATTCGCCTGCCATTGGTGACAGTTGTTGCTCACCACCGCACGCTTTGTTCTCTGCAGCCATTCAACGAGGGTTACCTGCGGGAGCACAACATCAAGCACCTCTCCTTCCATTCCTACCTGCGCAAGATCACTGGTGGCCTCGACAAGTGAGCTGGAAAGATTTGCGGTTGTCGCCGGGATGTGATGGGTTATTATGGGAGCTCTACCACACTTTGCAGCCGTGTTAGTGCGAACACGTGATTGCCCGTTCTTCGTTTTTTTCTTTCGGTTTCTCTGAGAAATGGAAAGCTGCAAATTTGGCCGTTTGGTGGGACCATTTGGAATTGTAATTGAGAGCACTTTGATCCAAGTGATCTTCATAAATGCAGTGATGTGATTACTGTGTCATTTGTGCCAAACTGTGCCGTAGGGCTTACCCTGCTACATCCTGGTATGTTGCACCAAAAGTTAATTTCACTTTAATGATACTGAAAGTAAATAGCTTCGGCCTTGCGACTTAGCCGGATTGTTACAACGCGCTTGTGTGGGTTTTCGGAGCTTTCAATAATCGCCTCAAATAACATACTATTCGATTTGATTTTGCGTCAAACACTGACAAAGTTTTGCAATAATTTTCACGTTTATAGTCTGTTTGGGCGGGTTAGTTAATTTTGTTGAGTGTGCTTCTGACAGCACACTGGTGTACTGCAGTGAAGCGACAACCGCGGACTATACTTTGTTTCACCTTATGTTGTACCGCAGACAAGGCTAGAAGCGCGAGCTCATAGCGTTGGGAGCTACTTTTAACGCACGAGAGCTTGTGCCGCCGAGATGTGCCCTAGAGCAAGGAGCTCGCGCTTGTAGCCTCTCCTGCGGTACATCATAAGGTGAAACAGAGTATAGTCCTCGCAATTTTGTGTCTTGCTTCGCCGCAGCGCACCCCCATGCTAAGGGGAAAGCACTCCTCCAGAGCGAGATGTGGCGCAATTTCTGAATAAAACTTCGGCTTTTATGTACGATAGACTGCGATATCCTGGCGGCATCTTTTTCCAGTTCAAGATTTAGCAAAAAGATTTTTATGGACTCTTTTGTAGGGTTTATTTTTGTTTTTGTTTTTTATTTGAATTAATAATTGCAATTTGATTGTAACCTCTAGGACAGTGGTTCTCAACCCTTGATGTTTTGCGGACTCCTTGTGAATCGGCGGAGATGATGGAGAGCCCCGTTTGTGGTGAGGGGAAAGGTATAGGGTCATTATGATAATGATTTAATAAGTGCATATAACTAAGGGCTGGTGCAAAGTAGACTTCTCTCATTGACATACACACGAGAAAACTCGCCTGAAAATTGGAAATTTTATTCTCAGTCGGATAAAAGACAACTTTTACTGCCGGGCTTGACTGACGACGCAGGGTTTCGCAGGCCCTTAGAATGCCTTTGCGGACCCCCGTTTGAGAACCACTGCTTTAGAACTTGAAGGGAACATAAATTCAGGTGCTCAAAATCATTTTATTCTAACATTATTTCAGTGGGATTCCGTAGCTAAAGTGACCATTCACGGCAGTTTGTGCTGTCCTTCATCAGTCACCTTGTTACCGTGTCTGGTGCTTCTACACGCAACTAAACGGCTAGTTCTGTGTTTTAGGGAATTGCTCCTGCTGTGCAATCGATGCTAACAAAAGATTGCACACTAGTGAGAAGGCAAAGTAGACATTGCCTTTTAGTTGGACAGGCCAACACGTAAATCTTAACATAATATTTGCAGTGATATGAGTGAAAATGATAGTGTGTGCTTATGCTCCAAAAGCTCGTTTTGCTGCTCTAAAATGAACATTTGACTGCTCCAAGAGCTGCTCCAGAATGACTTAAACCAATCACGTCACTAAAATTGAGACCACTTTAGATTACAAGTGGAACCACCTTGACCACCAGGTGGTTTTATCGTGTTGTAGGTATAATCACTTTGGATTATAATGGAGACTACTTTGTAGTGATTTGTAAGTGGGACTAGTTAGGAATGGAGCTGGAACCACTTTGATCCAAATGATTTGTCAGTGGGATCACTTGAAATTGTAACGAGGACCAGTTTGATCCAAGCGCTTTGTAAGTGGCACCCCTTGAATCTACCTGGGACCACTTTGATTCGTGTAGTACTGTAGAACCACTAATGTTTGTGAGCCCCTAATTTTCGTGAATTTCGTGACTCGAAAACTGTGAACCTTAGGGGGCACGAGTATTTCTATTGTCTATAGAGGCGAATTCTAGCCTTTAGAATTAGCGAAAGTGAATGGGTGCAAATGTGTCCCCGCTGCTCCATTCTCGAAATTTGGGGCCTCAAAGATAATCGGTTTTACAATATATGTAAGTGGAACCATTTGGGATTGTAACAGTTACCATTTTGATCCATATGGTTTGTAAGTGGCACCACTGGGGTTTTTACCTGAGACCACTGGGGTTTTTACCTGAGACCACTTTGATTCATGTAATACAGTGCAATCCACTCATAACAACACCAGGTATAATGATATACTACTTAAAATGATCAGTTTATAGAGTTTTTAGACTAGAAATGCTCAGTTTCTAGTCCAGATGCAATGATAATCGGTTATAACAATTGAATTTTTGGGTTTCACATTGTTATAAGTAGATTGCACTGCATAGGTAAGTGGAATCACTTGGGATTGTAGCAGGAACCATTTTGATCCAGGACCATTTTTGATCTAAGTGATTTGCAAATGGGACTGCTTAGAATTGCAGCTGAGACCACCTTGATCCAAGTGATTTGCAACTGAGACCACTTGGAATTGGAACTAGTTTGATCTAAGTTGTCCCATGTGGCCACAAGTGGGACTGATCCCATACTTCGTTTCACCTTACGACTAACCGCAGCGGATGCCACGGGAGAGGGGGTGCTGCGACAGGCGGAAAGCGTATCGCGCATCACGTTCGCGGAGCCGGATTGGTCGAGACGGCTTGTGACTTCCGTCGCGGCCAACGAAAGGTGGAACAAAGTGCAGCACGAGTTTGGACACCCGTTTGGGCTTGCGCCCTGCCCCACGTGATGGCCCGTCTTTCGTTCTCCGTACAGGGGCAAGTTTGCGGCCTTGGAGAACATCAGCTGCCAGTTGCGTCCGGGGTGCAAGGGTCACGCCCCCTGGCCGCAGGGCATCTGCACCAAGTGCCAGCCCAACGCGCTTACCTTGAACCGCCAGGTCTACCGGCACGTGGACATGGTGACTGGTTTTGTTCTCTGCGCGTGGGACGCGTTGTTAAAGAGGACCGTGGCGGTCGGTGGGTGTGTGTCTGGACGGAGACACACAGGCATGGGGACGCAACCGCCAGGCAGTGCATTGTTTGGGTGAGCAGATGTGCGATTAGAGCCGTTTCGTCCATTATCCGATTCGCCCACGAGCAGAAACTTGGCTTTGGCAATAGTGTGCGAGCACAGAGGCAGGCTGCGGGTATTGTTCAAGAAGCGTCTTATTGCTTCCTGTCTAGAAGACGGAGTATGGTGGAAAACCGTAAGCTTTCGATACTCGATAAATGCCGTCTGTGTATTAACTGATTTTGGAACGTCACTGTGCCGTTCTGCAGTTAACGCAGGGAATAGGCTGACATAATTTCAGTGCTTAAACTGCATATATTTTGTAGCGTGAGCTACACTGGCCGAAGTTGAGCAGTTTCGCGTGGCTTCTGGAGAGCCGTGCTGCGCATGCGCGAGGAGCAGTGACGTGACGCGTGTCAGTTTCCGATGCACGCGCCGCCTGCATGCACCCGCTCGAGATCATGGCTCGCGCTGTCCGGTTGTTCTGCGCAGCAGCTTGGTTTCTCTATACATAACAACGTGGCGCACAGCTTAACTCATTGGATCTCGAGGTAGTCACATAATGTATATACCATGTGTGTGTCATTGAAGCAGCAGTAAGCATGATCAAGCTAATCCTAGACAACCAGGAAAGCTAAGAATAACCAGCTGAGCCTAGGCTTACGCTACGTATATCCTGGCATAGCCGAGCTAAGCCACTGCAATTTTTTTGTTTTCTTGGTAACTGTCCTTTTGTTACATTTCCTATACTGCTGACAATACCAAGAGCGGTATTGACACTGCGTCGATAAACTAATCTTCTTTAGAAACTGATTATTCGCTCCTTTTTTTTTTTGTATATCGCCATATATATACTGTAAAGTTACGAAAGAACGCCCACGCAAAAGTAAGAGATAAATGATGAAAAACATGGGGTGGGCTATCTTTGGGGACGCCACATCAAAATTATAAAAAAATCAGCTACAAACCATGTGATGCGGGAACTGATACCGCAGTTCGCGGACACCGCAAATTCGTGTTTCACGGTGCGATAAACACGCAGGAATTCGCTACAATCTCCTGTGTCACGGGAAAGGATACCGCAGGTTGCGTACGCAGCAGATTTGCGTTTCACGGTGCGAAGGACCTGCGGAAATCCACCGAAAACTCGCATCTCACGGGAACGAATACCGCAGATTGCAAACTCAGCAGATGCAAGTTTTATGGTGCAATAAACACGCGGGAACCCGCTACAAACTTGCCTGTCACGGGAACCGATACCGCGTGCTCAGATCGCGGACTAATTGGCAGAAATCCGCTACAAACTCGTGTGTTACGAGAACAAATACCGCGGATTGCGAACGCAGCAGAATCGTATTTCACCATGCAATATACATGCAGGACCAGCTCGCGTGGGATCCAGATCGTGGACATATACGCGGGAATCCTCTAAAAACTTTATGTCACGGGAACAGGCACCTCAGACTGCGGACGCAGCAGATTCGCATTTCACAGTGCAACATACACGTGGGAACAACTCGCGTGTTACGGGAGCCGATATCGCGTGTGCAGATCGCGGACAAAAACGCGGTAACCCTCTATGAGCTCACGTGTCAGACGTGCCGGTACAGCAAATTGCGTGGTTGATGCGATTCCCGTCTGACGTTGCGTGACGTCCGACGAGAGTCGGGGGGTGGGCGATGTTTCAGAATTTTTATGTCGCAGATATTTAGCCAGAAAAACGAAATGGACGATCTCTCGGGGGCAGGCGTTCTCTCGGAACTTTACGGTAGGTTCTAATGCTGTAAAAAAAAATGTTGCTTTGCCGTGTCCGTCATGACACGACAGAAACCAGGGTCACTGCGGCCAGCTTGCAATCATGGTCAAATAGTCGTAAACGAAGCCGCAAACATGACTGCAGTGGTCAGTTTGCAGCCATGTCAAGCAGTCATGCAACAAGACAGTGACCAATCTGTGTTCATGATCAAACAGTCGTGTAACTTTCCAATCACAGTACTTTTACAAGAGGACCGTCAAACTAGAGGACATCTATCTGTGCACTTTGGTCTGCCACCGTGTCATAATTACACATACAGGGGAAGACATCATATTGTGTGACACAAAAACCTGGAACTCACTTAGATGTTCACATAACTGTAGCCAGACACTAAAAATGCACATTATATTTTAATAACGTTTGCTTTCTTAAATCACCTTCACCCTCATAACCATCCTCACAGTTTAATAAAATTGGTATGGCTTTTATGATTGTATAAGTCTTGTTGTATATATGTTTCATTTTGAAGCATTTCCTCCTAGTCTCTAAATCTGCGTCTCTCACTCTATGCCTTAGACGCCCCTGTTGTTAATAGACCCAAACTAGCCGACTGCCTATGGGTCAGTCTGTTTTTTCAGTGTCGCATATGTTCATCTAGCTGATAATAAGCAAATGGAATTAAATTGAATGAGGATAGTGACCAGTTTGTGGTCATGGTCAAACCGTCGCAGAGAAAAGCAGTGTGCAGCCTGCTGAGCGCTTTCGCAGGCTGACAGAGGTGCGGCGTGCAACGCAGGTGATGTTTGAGAATGCCTCGCTGGTGGAGCACTTCCTGGACTTCTGGCGGGAGACGATGCACCAGCGGGTGGGCTTCCTATACGGACGCTACCAGCCCCACAAGGACGTGCCCCTGGGCATACGAGCCATCGTGGCGGCCATCTACGAGCCCCCTCAGGTACGACATTTGTCTCGGGCATCGTTTCGGTCAAAGTGTCTCTTCAGCCAGTGTCTCTTCACCTAGTGTGACTCTTTGTCCAAGGTTGCTCTTTGGCCAAAGTGGCTCTTCGCATAAAGTGTCTCTTCGGCCAAAGTGTCCCTTCGGCACAAGCCTCAGTTTGGCTGGAAGTTAAAGGGAAGCTGAGGCACTTTTAGGTTATCGGGGCAGGGGCAGGGGTAGTGGTAGCGCAGATTGTATTGCGTGTTGCTTTACGCTGATGTTCCACAAAGGCACTTGGTACGCATTTCGTGTCCCAACGGCGCAAACATCGTTGTGCGTCATCGAGCCAGCCATATAACACATTTTGTGTTAACCGCCGGCCACATAACACATTCTGCTTTGAAAGTCTGAATCTAGAGCAACCTGCTATAGCTTTTTGTGTCTGGAATTCGGTTATTGCACTGCAATCCGGCAGAGTTTAGCGTAATCTACTTCTATCTTGGAGCAAATGGGCAGCAATTGCCGCAGGGCAATTACCGCAGGGCGTTTTGGACACAATTGAAAGGTGAGCAAATGTCACCCGACACCGTTAATGACATCGCTTCTCAAAGATTTATTGCGGCAGCCGTCTATAGCCAGTAATGCCAGCGGGTCGGCAGTGTGCGATCATCATTGTTACCAAATGTGTTGCCTAGGCAACAACAGTGAAGAAAGTATGCTGCGGAGGAGAGAAGGGAACGCAGCCGGTGCAGCAGCGCCACTGCGCTAGAATGCAATGCAGCTCACTGGTAACAGCACGCACTTCATGCGATCGTAGAGGAATGGGACTGCACAGGTGGCAACTCGCGTAGGCACACTTCATAAACTTCCGGTAGGCGGATCGGGTATGTCCAAAGAGTAGGTTCCAACAACGCTGTTCATTATACGGCCAGATGCCACTGAAGCATGAAGATCATTCAAACGGGAGGTATGTGGTTTGCGTTTCAAACTCTGTGCTAGGAGTTGTTCTACATGGTGCAAATGTATGATACGTTGGGAAAATACCACGGCTACCTCTGCCGCTTCATTGGTAGGATATGGCAATGGGCCTATCAATTTTTTCTTCCTCTGTTTTTCCTTTGCGCTCAGTGGGCAGCTGGGAACGGAGCTAGGGTGAATTTTTCATTTGCGATCACGTCACTCCTGCTGCTACCATTAGAAAAAAAAAAATCTTTACACACATTATTTTTAGCCTGCCTACACCCAGACACTCTCAACCTTTTAGAATATGAAAACCACCTCAGCTTCTTTTGAACTGGAAGGACCATTTAGCAAATTGGTGTATACTTTATTGTGTTGCTTGTATGTTGCTCATACTTTGTTTGTATGTTGCATGTTGGCAGTGCATTGTTTGTATTTTACACATACCTTGTTTTGCACTATCGTGGACAAAATGAGCCAAAACAGTCCTTTGTGCTTCTTTGGTGTACCTGCCAGTTTTTCAGAGAGCTGTGGTTTGAACTAACAGATGAATGCAAAGTCGGGGTCACATGCATTGAATTATTTGACAAATGTTGAGAGGTTGTAGAGCTTGTGGGAACCGCAAACGGACAAAAAGGCCGGATTGGATGTTTCAGCTTGTATTGTTCGCGGGGTACATTGTTTTCACGTAGTTTCTGCGTCGTTGGCATGCAGGAAAGCACGCCGGATTCGGTGCGCCTGTTGCCGGACGACAAGGAGAAACTTGTGGACGAGCTGGCGTCCAGGCTAGGACTTGTCCGGGTGGGCTGGATCTTCACGGACCTTGTAGCAGAGGACCTCCAGAAGGGCACGGTCAAGCACCTACGCAACATTGTCAGTGCCACATTTCGTGTCTTGTTTAGCTTGTTTACTATGAGGCTACTTAGTATTTCTTTTGTTCGAGCTAATTGGTGTTCAGGACCAGTTGTTGATGCACACTGAACGTAGAACAGTCGTTGGTTTCTGTTTGTACCCAATGTGTCTTGCGGCCAAAGAAAATGGATCGATGGTGCTTGAACTTTTCTTTATAAACTATAGCTTGCTTCATTTTATGTACAACTGAAGCTAAAAACATGAGCATGTTGTCCTGAACGAGTGCATCTGCTCGCACGGGCACTGAAAGCCCGGAGCTCGGTAGCTTCTGCTGCTCTTGCATTTAAAGGGAAACGGAATCTAGGTACCTTCTTTTTTGTCGTTTTGGCAGAAATTGAAGCCTAAAGCATCTGTTCTACGTGCAACAAAATGTTTTTATTTTTATCTGGTCACCCGTAATTAAGTGCCCTGCGAACTTTAGAAGTAAAAGTTCAACATTGTGTTTTTTTTTTTAATTACTATGGTCATTTATTAAACCTTTTTTGTGGCCTATAAACTAAACATGCATTCAAATGAATCGTCCTGTGTTTAACAGGGCTGCAGTAGTTTTAGTGTTGCAGAATTGCTGCGCTGGATTCCGCAGATCCAAAAAACCTGTTTCACTTTTTGAAAATTTGATTTGTCAGAGGCCTACCTTAGAGGGGCACTGCCACATCAAAATCATATTTTAGGCACTGCCACATCAAAATCATATTTTATTTTATTATCCGAAACGATTGAAAATGATGCCGGGACATTGGCCTCAAAATTCGAAACTTGGGAATTCAGTATTTCTGAATTAAAAAAGCAATTTCCAAATGTCAAATTTGAAGTTCCCGCGCGATCCGCGCCAGTGCAGGGAGTCAAATTTTGCGGTCTCCTGCGACTCGACTTTCTTTCTGACCTCCGCTCCACGCTGTGAAGCAAAGCGCCCGGAGGAGGTGTCCAGGAGGGACAGAAGGGTGCCGCCACGGGAAAAAACCGGTTTCTTCCCCGACTCACCGATAAGCCTCTGCTCGAGCACCGCCAAGTTTTCCGAGGGAGGACAAAAATCCAGGAAGCGACATAACACCGAAATCTGATTTTTGGTATTTCAAAAAGAAACTGCTCCGACTTCACTCAACAAGATTAACAATTTAATCAAACGTTTCGTCTCCCATCCGGGAAACATCGTCAGTGAAACCTACAAGCAGGAAGTCAGGATAATGGACTACTTAGGACAGGGCAAGTAACAATACCCTATTTGAGAGGTGTTTCTGAGTCTATTCGCAGGGCCCTCGCCCCTCTGAATATCCGCACTGCTTTCAAACCCCATCGTAAACTATGCGACCTCATTTCTAAACCTAAAGATGACACCCCCCCAGAGTCCCAGTGCGGTGTTGTGTATAAAGTGGAGTGTCTAAACTGTGACGTATCCTACATTGGGGAGACAGGCCGGAAGCGCTGCACTCGCCTAAACGAACACAAAAGGGACGTAGCGAAGGCCACGCATGCGACAAGAGCGAAGACGGAACTCGTAGACCATTGTTGGACTACGGGTCACTGTTTCGACTTTGAGAATGCGTCCACTCTGGCGCGCGAACAAAGGTGGGGTCCACGCAGGTTCGTGGAATCATGGTTCATCCGAAGTGACTCATCAGCTTGCAATTCCAACCGCGGCCCCCTCCCCGATGTGTACGCGGACTTGCTTAAATAGGACTGTTGAAGTTTTTTCCCTCATTCCTGCTTGTAGGTTTCACTGACGATGTTTCCCGGATGGGAGACGAAACGTTTGATTAAATTGTTAATCTTGTTGAGTAAAGTCGGAGCAGTTTTTTTTATCATTATGATTCCCGGCTTTTGGAATATTTTTGCATTCAAAAAGAAAGGCCGTAGTGAGTTCGCAATTGCATTAGAAAACATGTTTTACGACTGCCGTTATTAAATGTTATGGAAATGTCGCCTACAAAGCTTCTAAATTTCCTGATTTTTGACGTCACCAATCAAAAGAAGCAAGGAGGTGAGCGCGGGAGATATAAACACCAAAAATAAAAAAGCGCGCGCGCGGGAAATTTTTTTTTGTGATGTGGTTTTTTTTGCGTGTCTATGACTAACTTGCATCGTTTTAGACAATTAAAAAAGAATTCGACCTTTGGGGTGTCAGTGCCCCTTTAAAGAAATGCTGTTTTATATATTTCAAAGAGAATGAACAACTTTGAAATAGAGAAAACACGCTTACAACATCATTAGTATGGGAATACGTTAAAATCTGCAACAAAGCGGTCAGTTGAACCGGTTGGTCCATCTTGAAGTTCTTTTACGTACAGTTTTTCCTCGTTAAACGAAATCGCTTTTTTAGAATTATCGCTTTTATCGAAGTTCAACATGGTCCGGACCGAAATGCACGCATTTTTAACTGAATTATTTTAAGTGTATCGGGGGCCGACCATGCTTATTTTGAAGGCTACGGTGCCGAAAGCACACAAGCCTACACAAAGTAAACACGAAGTGACGTCGGAGAGGCACCTCAGAAAATGCCGACGACTGCGGAGACGCGAAACATTTCACGGCTGCTTCGAAACAAAGTGGAGTGCAGCGGCGGTGACAGTCTTGTTGCAATGCCTGGAGCAGTTCGAAGAGGACTAATGCCTGGATGAAATTATCAGCAAACTCTACTTAATTATTTTTTTACTCGGTTAAGCTGCCATGAGATGTTCATAACCAAGGTCTGTTTCATTAAATATACGATCACAGCGTTCCGCAGTGATTCCATCCACCTCCAAGGCTGCTGGCACTGTTCCTCTGGCTCCGTCACTTTTATCAAATTAGCACTTATATAAAAAAGATTTGCCGTCCCGTTGACTTCCTTATAATGAGGGATTAGTGTATTTTAAAAGTGCCTTGTGTTATGCAATCTGTCTCTCTCTGTCTCTCTGTCCCTGTGTTTTTTTATGCATTTTTTTTTTATAAACCTTAAAATTTGATGTTGGCATTACAGGCACACTGCAACCTCCATTTATCACAAAAATGAATTGCGATAAGGTTGACGTGCCGGTGCAGCAGTTTAAGATAATCGTGTACATGGATAATGTAGCGGAAATACTGCTGTGGTAGGGTACTTCTGTCTTGTCGATTTCACTACAGAGAGGTTGCACCACTTCTCTTGGCTGCACGCACAGTGACACTATTAGCACCAATTTTGCTGTTTTTACTTTCAAATTTAATGGATGCCATAAGAACTTCCAGTGTTGCAAAAGTTGTCATGTTTAAGGCAGTAACCCAAGTGGTATATCTTTATTGTCACGTTCCTGCTAACAGTGTCGCTCAACGTATGTTGCCTTCCTTTGAGAACAAGCCTCGCCGGCATGCTCTATGAGTGCAGTGGAACTTCATTGATACATTCCCGGTTTTTGCGTTCTCCCGGCTATTACGTTCCGAAGCATTGGTCCCGTCAAGTTCCCGTAGGAACGCGTGTATCAATTTCCTGCTTAGTGAGTTTGCTTTCCCGGTCCTTACGTCCAAAAATCCGCCGACATAGCGCCAACGACGCCGGCAGATTCACACAAAGGACCAATTCACGGATGGGTGCATCACGTGACGACAGGTCCACGGATCGTCCGCCTCCCAAGTGCATTCACAGATAAGGGACGGTGAGGATCGACCGAACTGTTCCACAGTGGCACTGTCATCCAAGAGCCAATGCAACGTTTGCCGCCATGGTTGCGGTGCTGTCGCAATAATACGAAAGAGAATTGTTGCGTGCTGCTGCTGGATACTACACGTGACAGAACACTGCGAGAGGCTCGGTGTGAAGCGCCACTGGTTTTACTAACCCAAGGCATAATGCAGGTGCGGTCACGCTCGAGGAGGGTCGGAGTAGAAGCGACAGAATCCCGGACTTGCGAAGGGGCGTTTGTCCAGGTCCTCGTCCCCGCGTGCAACACTTCAAGGCACCACGGGCGCAAAATTGTCCTGCCCAACCTCGTGTGTCTTGGTCTTGCCGGATAAAAGGCTGGATGGATGTGCAGGATGGAGCGCAGCGGGCCAGACGAGTCTCGAAGGGAGCTTCTCGGCAGGGACCCGTAGGAGTGCTGGAACTTGCAGTGCTTCAGCCAGGAACAGTTCCCGCAGCTTTCTTGGTGCACAGAACCAAAAATCACGCAACAAAACGAACCAGCGAGCAAACGGAACGGCCAAGACAAGGCAATGCTTAATCTTTGTGTTGCTTGTCAAAAAAAAAACAAAAAAAAAGGTGCGCGGATGTCAGATAAAACGCCTTTCGAGTCATTCCCCGTTAAAAATTCGTGAAAAAGCTAGGACCGAGAAAGCCGAGCACCTTTTCACTCTTACTTTTTTTACCTCAAACATATCTAATCTGGCAACCACCTTCTTTTTTAATGCAAAGTTGGTGCATTATTGTGCTTTGCTCTGTTTTTGTTCATTTGCTGGTTCGTGTTGTCGCGCGGTTCTTGGTTCCACACGTGAGAGAAGCTGTAAGAACTTGACATGGCTGATGCACTGCAGGTTCTAGTACTCCTCGGAGTCTGTGTAAAGAAGCTTCCATTGAAACTTGTCTGCCACTCCGCTATCTCTCCTGCATGTGCACTACAGTCTGTCGTCCAGCAAGACCCATTTGTGGTCTTAATGTTCCGAAGTGTCGCACACAACTGCGCGGGGACAAGCCGATGAGGACATCGGCAAACACCTCTCCACAAGAACGGGACTCCGTCGCTCGCCTACATTTCAGTAGCAAAAACGCCAGGTGAAAATTGCGAGCTTTTCTTGAATGTATTTGAGTTTGTGCCAGCGGACATTTACAAATATTTTCTGGACGTATTTGAGATCGCGCCTTCACACTTTTACGGTATGTTTATTTCAGTTTACACCTAAGAATGTTCGCAAACTTTTCCTGAGCCAATTTGAGTTCATGCGTCTGAATCTTTGCGTAAAATAAATTGTTTAGTGAGAGTTGCTACTGTCTCACCTCTAGCGCCCCCAAATAGTGTTCTCGTTCCTCACGTTTTCCCGTATCGTTTGTTTTATTTCCTCGGTCCCCTGAAGAGCGTATCAACGAGGCTCTGCCGTACCTTCTTTCTTGAGTTCCGACGCAAAGCGCCGGCCTACGAGTCTCCAGGTGGCAAGTTTGAATCCCTGTCGAGGTGCCCGTAACCCGACAGAAGCTTGTTGCGGAGAAGCCAACGCGTAACCGGTACTTCGGTTGCACATCAAAGATCCCTGGGTGGTGGAAATTAATCCTCAGTTCTCCGCTGGGGCGTGCCAGATGCCCTTCGTTGGTGTGGCACGTGAAAACGATCTCTGGATGTCCGCAGGAGTCGTGCTTCCTGAGCGCCCAAGAGTGCATCATGGCGGGCCACTTCCAGAACAGCCACCCGAGCCCGTGCCGGCTCTCGCCCGACGGCTACTTCGGCTCCAAGTTCGTCACCGTCTGCGTCACGGGCGACAAGGAGCAGCGGGTGCACATGGAGGGGTACCAGGTGTCGAATCAGTGCATGGCGCTGGTGCGGGACAACTGCCTGCTGCCCACCAAGGACGCCCCCGAGCTGGGCTATGTCCGGGAGTCCTCCAGCGCCCAGTACGTGCCGGACGTCTTCTACAAGGTGGGTGGTGTTCTTCACCCCACTCCTTCCCCCCGGCACAAAGGCAGCACTTGCGTCACGTGAAAGTTGAAGTACCGAAATTTCCTGCGTGACTAATGAAGGCCGCCGTGGGGTGTGGATTGGAGACGAATCCTGCTTCAGTGTTTGACTTTGACTTCGGTGAGGACACGAGTCAGCAGAACACCGACGCAGCATTTGTGTGTAATCTTCTGTGTCTTTAGGGCTTTCTTTACTTGGGGGTGTTGGCAGAGGGTGGAAAAACCGGCCAAGGAGCAGGCTCGTCTGCGGTCGATCGCAGAGAGGCCGTGAACCCCGAATGTGGCGAAACGGGAAATTTAGGCACTCCTTTGGTCTAAAGCCCGAGCATGGCATATGCAGAATGCGTTGGTAATATCTGCGTAAATGTGTGCGGCGTGAGGTCACAGTGCCAAGTCTCGGTGTCACGTGGCACAATGTGATTCTCACAAGTTCGTATATAATTTTTACTTCCTATATACCGTATTTACTCGCACAATGAACGCGCTCGTGTAATGAACGCACCCCCCAAGTTGGCTCTCAAAATTTCGACTTTTTTTTTCACTCGCGTAATCAACGCACCCCCAACTCGGACGTCAAAATTTTAGTCCCCTCCCTCCACGCGCGCGAAATGTACGCACTTTTCTATCCTGATGCAGCGAGGTCGCGAATGCATGGCCAGCATGGGCGAACAAAAGGCGTTAAAAAAATTCGCAAAGATCCAACGGAAGCAAGAGAAAAAAAAACAACTGCAGAAGCGCTCTAAAGCGAACGAAATAGCTTGCGAAAGACGGCAAAGAGAAAAAAAAACAAAAAAACACGGAACTAAGAGAAAACAAAAACAAAAAAAAGCTTTTTGTCTCTTCTTTTTTTTTTTTTTTTGCACAGCGCAGATTGGTTACCGGGGGTCGCGCGCCGCGCTCAAGGAGGTAAGAAAGAGGAGCGGAGAAGCCCTCTAAGCAAACGAAACAACTTGCGAAAGACGGCAAAAAAAAAAAAAAAAAAAGATTTTTTTTTTTTTGTGCACAGCGCACTTTGGTTACTCTCGCAAGGAGACAAGAAAGATAAGCGGAGAGCCCTCGTCTAAGCAACGCCTAAGCAAACAAAACAACTTGCGAAAGGCGGCAAAAAAAATTAAAAAAAAAAACCAAGGAATTAAGAGAAAAAGAAAACAAAGCAGTTTTTTTTTTGCACAGCTTAGTTTGGTTACGGGGTCGGACGCTGCGCGCAAAGAGATAAGAAGTTACTTCGATTTTTCAGAATAAAAGGTCCGTTCATTATGGGAGTAAATACGGACGCAAAAATTTTACTTCGCGTAATGAACGCCCCCCCCCCCCCCCCCCCCAACTTTGCATCGATTTTTCGGAAAAAAAAAGTGCGTTCATTCTGCGAGTAAATACGGTAAACAAAGGACGGCGGACCCAGCGTTTGGTCAATGCCCTGGTGGTTCCTTGCTGACGAATGGGACTCAACACGGAGTTTTTGAACAAAGGAGTTTAATTAAAAATAATGCTTTGAATATGAGAAAACTAAATAAAAAGCTCACAAGCAGCGAGTTGCATTCACAAACAAGTTGCTACAGTTACATGAAAGCCTCCCCCGCCTGCACCTGACTTGCTGCCTGTTGCACCTCCCCTTACACTGCGTCTCTCTCAATGGTGTTCCCAGTAAACCCCCGAAACATTGCATAAAAACAAGAACAAAGCAAGAATACATGCCCAAAAAAATACTTTCAGCCTTTGCACTTTGGCGAAGAAGGAGGACCAGCGAAGCTGTATTATGGTGGGAATGAAGTAATGGTCGGCTGCAAGTCGGCAAGCCAGAGTGGAAAGGTTGCCGCCATCTATGAGCAACGGCGGCGACCAGACAACCGGCAAGCTGGTTGTCTTGTTGTCACTGTCGCTCATAGATGGCGGTAGCTGCCTGGAGTGTTGTGTTGACATTTGTTTGCTGGCGGACACAATCCTGGGGAAACTAGCCCTTAAAGGGATACTACAACAAAATTTCGGTGCTCATTTTTTGGTCTATATGTGTTAAAAAAAGCAGCATCACATCGAACACACCAATATCTTGTTAAAAAAGTCACAAAAAGTAATTTTAAAATGAATTAAATGATTAGCAAAGAGCACCTGGTGGATGTCGCTAATGCCTCGTTTGTAATGCCCGTCTAGGAATCTTGACAGCTAGTGACGGAGGTTGTCTCGTCTCCGGCCACGACGAGAGAAGAGGGGCAGGAGGAACTCCCCTCTTCCCGAGAATGCCTTTTGTGTGTCGCAGAAGTCGCTATTGTCCCCCTACAAGATTACAGAAGATTAACCCGTCCCTCAAAATTCGTACAAAAGCAGCCACTTCGGTGGCTGGAACGACTAGGCCATCCTCTCGACGTCAGCCTCGCCGTAGCTTTACTCGTCTTGAGACGACCTACGTCACGATTGCGTTGGATGTCACGTGGTCTCCGCTGGGTCTTCTCCGAGCGCTTGCAAGAGTGGGCCGTTTATAGCGGAAAATACAGCCATCAGGTTCAAAATACAAACGTGCGATTGTCGTTTACGGATATTGTGGATCGTATTCAACCTATTTTTGAACACGACGGGAATATTTCAAATTTCGTTGAAGTATCCCTTTAACAGCTCCACTTTAAAAGTAGACAGCGTTTGTTCACTTGCGCGCCTCCGCACGTATGGAGGTCAGGTAACCCGGAGGAGCCACGGCTTCATCTTTCCATTCTTTGATGTAAAAAAAGACAAGACCTGTCGCTTGCCGCACGTCTACAAAAGACATGCCTATATTAACCGGTCGCAGCCGGATTTTGTGACGGTTATGTGACACTGATGTCGCACGACACGTCGTGCGACGTGGTCACATGACGGGGTGCCATATGACTGGATGTCACGTTGCAAGTAATGTCGTGGAATCTGTGTTCGCCTTTGTTAAAATGCATTATGTGTGTTAAAAACTGTCCGTCTCTGGCGTATCTTAGAGGTGCTCGAAATACATAGCAATTAAGGTGCCCTGTGACGTCATTGTTCACTTGACGTCATGTGACGTCAGTGTCATGTAACCATCAGGAAAACATGTTGTCATGTAACACCATGATGTCACAGCATCACATGACACCTCTGTCAAGTGAGGTAATGGTGCCATGTGACTCAAGTAAGCACATGACAACATGATATGACAGCATCACATGACACCATTGTGTCATGTGAAGTAATGGCATAATGTGGTTCAAGTAAGCACATGACACCAAGATGTCACGGTGTCATGTCACAATGTTATGTAACAACCTTTACGCTGATCACGTCATACGAAGACACATCATCACGGCATTCAAATGGTGACATCATGGCGAAAGTTCCGAAATGCCGATGGCTCTAAGATGCCAATGACGTCATAAAAGCTTAAACCCGTCCCATAAATGCGACGAGTTTAAAAACGTTGTGTCACACTCCCTCCCGCAGTACACGGACTCATACGGGAACGAGGTGGCTCAGCTGGCGCGCCCCCTGCCCATCGAGTACCTGCTGGTGGACGTGCCAGTGTCCACCCCGGTGGAGCCCCAGCACACCTTCTGCGGGGGCCTGGCTGGACGGAGGCGCTTCCCCGTGGAGAACCGCCTGCTCGAGGGACACATCCAGGACCTGCCCGCCGTGGGGGCGCACCTGGCGCAGTTCGTGGCGCAGGGGGGAGGGGCCGAAGGGGCCCTGGAGGCCTTCTCTGACTTCCACCTGCTACTCTACCTGGCCTCCCTGGACATCGTGCCCCTCAAGGTAGCCGGCTAAACCCGCTTAGAAGACAAGGCCGCCAGCGACTTTCCCCCCCCAATTGTCGTGGCCAGGGAATCCAACCAATCCAAGGGGCTCATTGCGGAGAAGGCACCGTGTAGCGGAGTTTTCGGTTGCGCAACAAAAGATCCCTGGGCGGTCAAAATGAATCCCAAGTCCTCGGCCGGGGCGTACCAGGTGCCCTTCGTTGGTTCGGCACGTAAAACACCCAGATTTGTCGTTGTTAGCTGTCGTCTCTTCTCGGATACTGTCGCTAGGTGCACACTTGCGAGACAGTATCTAGGCTATACACCGCTCGTGTGCTTGTGTGCGTGACACACAAGCACACGAGCGAGGGGTTCCCATGCGTGGCCGTCGCATGCTCGGCCCACGTTCTCGCTTATGAACGACACCCGCTCCGTAAAAAGTTGCAAGATTTTGCGTGCGTACTGTGGCGAAGAGCTGCGGATTTTTTGTTTCGCCCTTGAGATGCCGGTTGTTTTGGCGCAGGACACGATGGCTCCCCTCCTGGAGGCGGTGAGGACCCAGAACCGGGAGATGGCGCAGCAGTGGACCACCAACGAGCACTGGCAGACCTTTGAACAGATCCTGGCGTCCCAAGGTGGGGAGGACGACTTTTGGGCTGTCTCGCCTCATTTGCATTTTAAAGACGCGTCCTCTTTGGGCAGGTTCACGCAGTTGCATCTGGTTGCGGCCGAGTTCGTTGTGCAACCGTGTGATCTCTCACGACGAGAGGACGCCCCAACACCGCCTGTTGGGCGCCCATGGATGTTCGAGATTTACACGTGTTTCTTATTTTTTCACTAGTTCCTGGGCCACCTTGTGAATTGCACCGGCGTCCATGCGTGTTCTCCCGTCGTGAAAGATTGCCCTTTTTCCCTTTTGCAGCCACGGCACTTTTGTGTGACACCTGCTACTCTGAGGAGTGAGCCTTTTGGGTGCCTTGAATTGAAGCAGTACTCCGGCCGTTTTGTGAGCTACCTAAACAAATCGCATTTTCTGAATATCCGGACTTTAGTCTTCACGGTATGTTATTTATTTTATCAAAATTCAAAAATAGCTGTTGAGAAAGCCGTAAATGAAGACGATGCTTGAACTCAACGCTCAAATTTTGGCGCGCTCTCCAGGGGTGTTACGTTTTCTCATGCTTTTCTTTGAGTGAGCTTTTAAGCATTCTTTCGCCGCCATCAAACATCTTGTAGTCTGTTGGGAACATGGCTTACTGCCCACTTTGTACCATTTCTGTCGTCACAATTTAGTGTTGCCAGCAGGGGCTCTTGGTTTAGGAAACGCGATGAGAATGCAATTAAAAAATGCAATAGCCTCGCTTTTTTTTTTTGCACGATATTTGGGAGACTGGTACAGCCATGTCTGTTTGTTTGTCGAGCCAATTTTGAGGCAAATCAGGAATTGTAGAATAATCGCTGGAGTAGCTCTTTAAACTCGGAATGATGGGAAAAAAAGTAAATCTTTCAAGTGACTACGTCCAGGGTTGAGTGATTTTTAGGAGTTGGTATCCAGTGAGGCAACCTTTTTTGCTAGTTCAAAAGTCTCTGAAAGTGTGGGTATCTTTTTTTTTTTTTTTTTTTTTAGAATTTTAGGGTATAGGGCATAATTAAGCTCCCAATTTGGTAGATTCGGAATCTTAACGGAAATAAACTCCGACAAACACCGAATTGTCACAACAAAATTAACTCTGAAAACACAGAATCCAGCATCTGGCGACATAGTTTATACAGTTGAACCTCGATTTAACGAAGTCACTGGGACCTGCTAATTATTTCGTTAAATCGGGAACTTCTTAAAAAAGAGGAAGGGAGACCTCGCACATAGGCTGCACGGGGAATCGGAATTTGTTCGTAAAATCAGGTTTCGTTAAATCGAGGTTCAACTGTATCAGATTTTATGAGAATCCCGGAAGGCAAGTTTGAGTGCAAAGCGGCCAACCCTTGGTGACTCGATGCCTCCAGGTCCGGGCGGAGAGCAGAGGGAAGGGGGTGCCTCAAGTTCGTGGACCTGCCAGCACTGCACGTTCCTCAACGGCGGAACCAGCAACGTGTGCGACATGTGCGGGCTGCCACAGTAGCCGCCGGACGCTCGGACGCCATACCCACTTTTTTTTTTTGCGAGGCGTGCAGTTCGACGGTCTTGGTCTTCATGGAAACGGGCCGCCGTTGCGTCTGCTTTTGCATCGCACCGAACTCGTCTGCATACCGCCCAGTGGATGACACTGCTCTGGCCCAACAATTACAACCTCTCCTTCTTGTGTTTTTTTTTTAAATGAAGGGGGTTAAGGACGTCGTTCGAAAAAGGGGCGAACCTAATTTATTTGTGGATCCCCATGGCTTTTCTTCCCCACAATTCTGCACTTTATTGTTTTTTGCCAAGTTTGGAAAGTGATTGCTGCTTTCGAGAAAATACAGCATTGGGCGAAGGCATGCCTGTTCTTTCTTCTCGTGTGTGTGTTTGTGAGCTCTGTGCTTGTAGCTCGGAGGGACAAACGCAGTTTCCGAAATGAGCTCTGCGGCCATGTTTTGACATGTTCAGTGGTATTGCCACTATCAGCCATGGTAATACGCCAGAGTTGCCACAAGGTAGTTTCGAAGAGCCACGTCACCGAATTTGAGCCTTAGTTTTATGCGGTTGCAAGTAGCATGCCTTTTAGAGCGCACAGCTCTTTTTGGGGCTTGTTTCCGCCTTGAGCGGCGTCGCCGTCGACATAACCGCAGGGTCACGTGACCCTCCCCAGGTCACGTGACCCCTCAGTACGGTTCCCCTCAGCACCCTCCCCTCAGTACCCTTCCCTCCTCCTCTTCAAGAGCTGCGCTCCAATTCGGCTTTACAGGGAGTTGTAAATGGCTTTCATTTTTTTGAGATGTGATCCAAGATAACTGTTCTCATCTGCCAAAACCCTTGCACAAAATGGAAAAAAAAAAAAAAAACTGATTTGTAACAAATCAAAATATTAGATTTATTTATCTAGATCACATTAATTTGATTTATATCACTGTAGCTAGAAAAAAAAAAAGGTTTTTATATGTTTTTAAATCTGTTTTTATCACTGTATGTGTTCAAACACCGTCGCAGTGTTTACTGTCATTCGGTGCAAGGGCTTATGTTGGGCTAAACCAATGAACTGCAGTGGATGCATTGTTAATTTGCGAATTTAGTATATCTATCTGTATTTAGATGCATCCGAGCCTTTGACTACGCCGTGAATTATGGTGGAACGGAGTATAACTGCATTGGATACCACTTCGATAAAGAGAAACTTTCGCCTCTTTCCTACGTGGCGAGGCAGTGGCAATGCAAAACGTATTGTCTGTTGCTCTGCGGTGGGGTTGCACGGGTGAGCTCGGCACGCATTTCGTGCCTCGACGACGCAAACAGCATCGTGTGCAGCATCTTAGACAGACAGCCCTGGTATGCGAAGTTTGCATCTTTTGCTCCCATACATCCACCAATGACTGCTGTTTCGAGTCTCCCCGTTTCCTCCAAAACACCTGCTCATTCTGACATCCCACCATATGCGCGAGCGCGCTCGCTCAGCACCTGGCGAAATGTCCCTGCAGCATACATTGCACATAACGAGTGTCGATGAAACTATTGTGTCGACGAAATGCGAGTTCGTGAAACGTGTGTCCATGAAAGATTGTCCACAAAACGTAAGTCCACGAAACGAGTTTCGACGAAATGAGGGGGAGCCCCAATAAGTATGCTAGGTGACCACCCGTCCCGCGAGAAATTTTAAAATCTTCGAAATGTTCCGCATTTCACATTGTCGTAAAATTCACTCCGCAACTCACGGTGCTGCCGAACAATGGGGCACGGGGAAGCGTGGAGGTCGCTGGAAATTGTGTGAATCAAAATGGTACGCCATTTTTCATCCAAGCATTGCGGGGAGATGACCGTCGTTCTTGCAGGAGAACAGACGCGCATGCGCCGATGTGCGCATGCCGTTGTGCATGTGCGCGTGCGCAAAATATCGTAAGAAAAATTGCTCACCAGAAGTTTAAATATAAAATATTGTAATTATTTTCAAATTGCTGTGTCAATGCAAAAAAAAATGCTGTGTATTTTTTTTAGGGAAGGCAGCTACACTTGCAGTGGTCGAAAAAAAACAATGTTAAAATTTTGTGTAGGACCATGTTGATTAAAGTAAGCGTTGAGAGGAAACCATAACCCGAAAAAAGATTTACTGGTTCTTATTTCCATTTAATGCATCCAGTTCTGCCATTGTTGATTATTATGTTTTCAACTTCGACACATTTAATAACATGTTTGGCATTCAAAATATATATCATTGGGAATGGAAATTATTTGAGCCTAATTTCTGCAATACAATTGTGTGCAAGGGTCATAAACAGTACAGGATAATGAATGTGTTAGCAGACCCTCGGTTTATTTTGTGCATGTTAATAAATTTCCTTTATTCCGCCACCCTGCCCCGCGTGTCCCGCATTTCGCTGGCAGGAAGGTGGTGACCCTAAAGTATGCATACACCGAGCTCGCACCTTTACAGCAGTGTTGCTTGTCAGAAAGTTTGTTACTTGTTTTGTTCATCCATTGACGAAATATACCTTTTTGCCATTTTGTTTTTCATGCCTGAGTACGCGAGTTAAAACTCTGACACGCCTTTAAAAAGCCAAAATCAAGCACACTTCTTTTATCTGTACTAGGGGTGTCGCGAACTTTTGTCGATCCAGATTTTTTGGTCGAACTTTCGGGGTTCGACTGGGTCGAACCCCAAAAGTTCGACCAAAAAATCTGGTTCGACAAAAGTTCGCGACACCCCTACCCCTAATCTGTACTGACCCGTAGCACTGCACGAAGTGAAGTTCCCATCTGCTTGCATTCTACTAAATCCATACCGCATATGCTCATGAAGTTATGTATTTTTCTTTTTCATGCAATTTTCATGCTGTTTGGCATGCACATCTATTTGGTTGGAACATTTCTCTATTATTAACGTATTTATTTTTCTATACTATGTACATAGTACTGTTCACATATCAGACACGGCTTGCACTCACGTCACATCGCCTACTTTTGACCACCATGTAAGGGGAGAAGAAGGAAGCTGCTTTTGTAAGCATTTTGAGTGGCAATCATCTTCTGGGAGATGAGTAGCCACATTTGTGGAAATCCGGGGGGCACAAAAGAGGATCCGATAAGAGGGGTGCTTCTTCTTCCCCTCTTCTCTAGTGGTCATCGGAGCACTCTGAATGATGTCACGTGCAAGTCATGTGTACGCAAATTAACCTTCAGCAACTTCTCTGCCCAGCATATCTTGTTTCTTGATCAGAGAAAGCGCCCTCTCACTGGTGCGATAATTTCATTTACCGCATCTTTCATCTACTCACGGTTCGGAAAAGCCGAAGCGGGACAAAACACCGTCCCATAAGCACGCCTGCAGGACGGCAATACCACGGCCGGAAAAGCGGGACCTGTCCCACCTAAATCGGAACGTCTGGTCACTTTAATCCTGGAGGCACATTTGCACATACAAACCATTTTCAAGAAAGCAACAGTGGAGCGCTTGCGTGAAAAATGCCGCTCTGTTTGCCGCCTTGATGTGGTGCGCCAAACGAACTGAGGGATTCAAAGCGCATTAGACTTGCGGATGGCCATAAGATTTGTTATTTGTATGCTTTCTTCCTGACTGAATATGCGGAGATAATTTCGGACGCAGGTCTTGGGCGTTGGTAAAAGCGCGTCCAAAAAGGCTTAGCGAGGAGTTGGGGACGTTTGTTGGCACCTCAGACATAGCTAGCCGATCTCGGCGTTTGCGAAAACTTTATCTCCAACCAGCATAAAATTTCAGTGGGAGATATATGATGACACGAGGAATACTTTATAGAAACTTTTGTGCAGTATTGAGGTCGAATTGATCAATTGCGTTCATGCCCCAATGTTGGACTCAACTTTGAGACTCCTGTGAGGGTCTGCGGCTGGTTTTTCTACCAATGAAGTGACAAGAAGTGGACGTTTGGTAAACAAAATATCTGTCGCGCTCAAAGTGACCAAATTTATATTGTGGTTCACCGGTGCCAGACCGGATTATTGAAATTGACCTCAAAGATAAAATCGTGAGGGGAGGTGCTTCACGCCGTACGTTTGCATACGCACTCGCAATATCCGGCATGTTGGGAACCAAGAGAAGTACGCGCCCTGATCTTCTCGAGAATATCTGTGGGAAGTTTCAATCACGGCATGATAGAATAAACACAAGTTACTCAACCGAAACCGAAACTTAGTGGCCTACTAGTTTTCAGATTGCATTGCGTGGTATTTTGCCGTGTAGGGCCAAGTAGGGCGCTTCGACGTGCAAAAAACCGTTCTCGTAAAAACAAAAATGCGTTAAAAATATTTGGCGGCGGCTGCGCCAGCTGCGCGCCGCGCCGGAGTTGCCGGAGTTACCGGAGTCTCGACGCACACGTGCTCTCTCTAGCCCACTGTGCTCTAGCCCTCTGGCAACAACCGCCACAACCGAAACTGCAGCCTGCAGCCACTGCAGCGCTGCAGCACTGACGGCGGCCCGCATGGTTGGAACTTGGCAGCGGTCCACATGTGAAAGTGTGTGGACTTTTCGACTTGTGCAACAAACAGGTATTGTCCTCGGTACGTTGTGCAATGCGCTGAGAAACTGAGGTAGAAGAGGCGAACGCGCTCGGGGACGTCAGACGCGCCAGAACGCCGATCTCTGATTCGAATGATTAGTGAGTAGAACATTTCTAAAACGGAGGCTACAAAGAGGAGCCAAAGAGAGGACGTCTGCTTCTGTCTCAACTCCACTCGTCGAACGCTTTCGAATACGAAAGCCGAACGTTAGATGCGTGCATTCCACGTTTTAACGCGTTCGAAGAGCGCAGTGGAGACAAAAAGGCTACCTTTGTCTGCACTGCACTCGTCGAGCGCATCCGAATGCGAAAGTCAAACACCGGATGCCGACGCTCCACTTTTTAACGCGTTTGACGAGTGCAGTTGAGACAAGGGGTGCTAGCTTCAGATCTACCCACTACTTGCTCTCCGACGGGAACCGCGGTTCGTGTGTTTCTCGTCGGACGTTTACCCGATGTGCGACAGGAATCCCATGAACCGCGCGATCTGCGGTATCGATGTGTGTGATAGCTAGGCGTGTTCGCAGCGGGTTCCCATCGTGCTTACTGCACCGTGACGCGCGACTCTGCAGCGTTCGTAATCTAAGGTCAGATTCACGAAGAGCTTAGTTTACGACACCTTAGCTAAAAAGTTCGCAAGTTAACCCCCTTAACTGGAAACTTTATTGACCAAAAATACTTGTAAAATAAAAGAGTAAGTGTTTCTACTTTTTGAAGGTATAACAATAATCTCAAAACCTAAAACAAATTTATTTATATCAAATTGGATGTGCACCACGGCACTTCCTACAATCCGAAATGGATCTTTCACCGTGCTGGGGTCTTCCCAGGTTGCAGCAGACCCCGAAATTGATGGTGTTACCGTAAACAATTGTTCCGCTGTGTCATCTTCAATTTTCGTGTCGGATCCCGGGGAGCATTCCCTTGAACTCGAGAAATCAGCATCGCAGTCTGCGTCCTTGGTAAATATATTGCAGCAGCTCAGCGATTTCTTCGTCGGTCAAGAGACGCGCTGGCGTTTGCTGGGCGGCATTTTCCAAACTGTCAAATGTGTCGTACAGGAGTCTTCAACCTCTTTTTGTGCTGCCAGGTATGCATCGTTTTTAAAACTAAAAGTGTTTCCGATACAAGAAGATAGATGGCGCATCCTACCCACACTCTAAAGCGAGTGAGTGTTTAAATACGCGCTTCCCAACAGCAAAGGAAGTGCAGCGCGTCTATAGATGCGCCCCCCAATCTGCGGTCAAAACTGACTCGCATCGAAAGACTTGCTCCTAGTTAAAGGGTTAAGAACGTCGTGAGAAGAGGAGAAATCTGTATTCATGAACGCTTTCTCAAGTGAGAGGAGGAAAGCGACGTTCTCGTATAGAAAAACAAGAACTTCCGGTCCTGTTGCTATACCCTCCGGGCAGTCAAGTTTAGTGCGACACGTTGCGCCATCTAGCTCAAAATAGTTGCAACACTGAGAAGGCCCTTTTGCCAGCCTGCTTGCTCGTGGGGCTGTTCACGCATCAACATGCCTGCCAACTCTTCCGAATTTTTCGTAGAATGTACAAATTGGGACTAATTTTACGATTTTACAAATCTTGCCTCAAATAATTTTTTTTGGAAAGTTGTTGCCGGCAGTACCTTTCACTACCACAAGGGGGCGATAGGTACCGTCCACAGCAGCGTATTGGTTTTTACTATTCGTCTATCCGGTAGCCACAAATCCAAAACCAATCCAAAGCCCAAAGCCTTTGTTTGTGTGTTCGGCGGCACACGTTACGTTGGTTCGGCCAGTGGCGTCACTAAGGTCAGCGGCACCCAAAGCGGTGTCCCGCAACGACATACAATCCTATTTGATCTCTGTCGGTGTCACACTGGCAGCACTTGGAGTTTTCACAAGATCTCTTGTCTTGTGTTCCTAGTCTGCTCTTGCATGTAAGTTAGCTTTGTTGTGTTCACTTCTCACCGCGCTCTTGTGTACTACAGTGAAGCGGCGACTGCAAAGTAAGCATCATAATTTTGCTTATCTTGCTTCACCGCAGTGCATCTGGGTGCTAAAGGGAAAGCATTCCCTCAGAGCGGGACAATAAACCCGCAAACATCCAAGTATAGTAACAATAAAAACTGGAACTTTGCGAGTCTTAACATTGCAGCTTCTAGTTGCAGTAAAAATTTCTTAATTAAACTGCAGCTATTATGTATAGTGGACTGTGGTATTCTGGCAATATCTTTTTCAAATTCAGTATTGAGTGAGGGTACTTTTAAGAAAATTTATTTTAACTGCCCTGTCGGTTTTCTTTTATTTGAACTCCATTCTTTAGTTGTCACTTTTGTATAAGTTTTATCCATTCGCAGCAGTCCATACCGTCCTTCATTGACTAGTATCTTGTTGCCATGCCTAGTAATTCTATGTGCAACTAAGCAGCTAGATCTGTGTTTTAGGAAGCCAAACCTGCATTGCACAGAAGTGTGAAGGCAAAGCATGCACGCTTTTTAGTTGGATATGACAACACACAAATCTTTATATATAATATTCACAGTGGCATGAATAAAAATGAAGTGTGTGCTTGTGCTGCAAAAGTTCTTTTGGCTGCTCCAAAAGGTGCTACCAGATGACTCGGGTCAATCACATTACTGACATTACAGGCGAAAATTTCTAACTGGGACCAGTTGGCACCTCAACTGGTTTCAACTGGGACTAACTGGTCCCAACTGGGAATGAACTGGGACCAATAGGAGTCCAACTGGGACCAGCTGAGGGGTCAACTGGTTTGAACCATTCCCAGTTGGGAGTCAACTGGTTTGACTCCCAGTTGGGAATGGAGTGAACTGGAACCAGTTAGGAAAGTAACTGGTCGTAGCGATTCCCAGTCGGACTTCAAATGGCTTTCCTGTTCCCAGTTCACACGGGGCAACAATTTTGACAAGTTGGGGGTGTATTGACCTTTGCTAATGAAGAAAACTAAAAACACTTAAATTTTTAGATTTATACAGATAGGGAAATTTTTAATTACTGAGTACATTTATATATTTAAAAAAATAATATAAACATTTTAATTAACTAAATAACTTTTTTAATTGGAAAATATAATTAGTGACAAAATGTGTTCACCTAAATGAACATTTAGTGCATCATTAAAATATATTAAAACATTTAAACACCTACAGTATTTTTTTTTTTTCTTTTAATAAATAAATTTATCTTTTGGCCAATCAGAGCTATCCGGCCGCCGTGGCACGCGGGTGCGGAATAGTGGTACGTGCTGTCGACAGATGGCGCTGACTATGCTGACGTCGGAGTCGGACGGACGGATGCGGTAGAGAAAGGTCGCCATCGCCCAAGTTGGCGTCGTTATGAAAATGTCAAAACTACAGCTGTGCTTGTTTGGACCTAACTGTACGCACACCATGGTGGCAGCGGTGAACTTCGAGGATGGAAAGATGCAGTTCAGCGATCGGAGGGCACCCAGGAAAGACCGGACGGAAGAAAACGCCGCGGAGAGCACAATGGCGAAAATGGTGGGAGGTCTACCTCGAAAATGTTTGACTGTTGTGACAGAGATTGCAAGGTGGGAGCGCTACCGCATCCTATCAGGACTTCGCCTGCGCAACACGGGATCACGGGTGAGCACCTTTCTTCACGCGATGGGAAGAGAAGCTGAGGACGTCTTCACTAACAGACGCCAGCGGCCGATCTTCCTTCATCTCACGAATACTACCTCTGAAAAAGCGATTCAACCGTCGCAAGCAAGTGGCTAAACCCGGAGCGTGTACGTCACAGAACCTATTATTTAGTTTTATTCTACAAGTTTTTGACAATAAAGGCTTGTCAACTTTCCATTTTGTGCAGTGTTTCATTGTTGCTGGAGTTGGTACCAGCGGTAACTGGGACCAATTCCAACTGGGACCAACTCAAACTGGGACCAGTTGGACAACTCCGACTGGGACCAGTTGCAACTGGGACCAATGGGTCCCAGTTGAAAATTTTCGCCTGGGAAATGCTCTGCATAGTACTTTTTTAGACTGCCTGCTGGACCTGCACGCCTGCCTTCCCTTGACGTCATGGCACTGAAAAGCGCGGGTGCTTTCGAATGTTGGTTTTAGCATCATTTTCCACTTTCTGCACGTGGGTGTATTTGAATGTTTGTTTTAACATCATTTTATTTTCGCTTGCCGATTTCACAGTGACCCTTCTGAATTTCGCTATACAGTATAGACCACTTACAACGTAACCGCTTATAGTGCAGGACCGGGTATAACGCGGTTTTTTTAAACCACCGGTTCGCCTCCCATAGAACTCCATGTAATTACATACTGCTTAAAACGCAGGCGTGCGAAGGGAAATACCGGTTATAGTGCAGTTTCTGGCACAGCCCGCCGACCGCGCCGACGACCGGAGCAGCGAGCACGCTTCCCTGTGCGACACTAGATAACGGCGCTGACGGCGCGAGCTGCAAGCGTTGCGCAAGCGGCACTCGCTGGGTAAGGAGGTTGCTCGAAGAAGCGGGAGAAGCGAAGAGAGAGGCTTCAGTTGACACGTGCGTGCGTCCCTCCGCTTCCTTGAAAACATCCGAAACAACCGCAACGACAGACCAATCGCAGGTCGAGAAGTGTTCGCGCGCGTCGCATGCCGGTCGCGGGCCGGCTGCTTCTCCGCAAACATGGCATCGGTTGTGATCAACGTTGTGATCGTCGTCTTAGACGGCGTTCATCTCATCGTTCCGCGTAAAAGCGCTATCCTTTACTGTGAATTTTCGCTGTGTGTCGCTATTATAACCCAGCACGTACTAGAAGGGAAGATCCACCTACTCGAGCGGCGATGTCGTGGCGGCGCTCTCAAGACGGCAGAAACGCCCGTGTCGTCGTGTTTGTTTACTTCGACTACAGTGGTGCTTTCTAAGCATTTGTGCGCTCGAACATCGCCCGGATTCCTTATTTGGCGCATTTCATGCGTGTGCTCAAGTTCAAGGTATTACTGGCGCGTACCGTATGAAGGATGCGAATTTTCACGCGTTTCATCTCCGGAGAAAAGTGATTAGGGTTAGCAATCCTGAACGCTCGCAACGTCCGTCCGCAACCCGCGACGCCGCTAAAAGGCTGCGCCAGGCAAAAGCCGCTCATTTCTTTCAAAATGTGTGACACACTTGAGAGAGAAGTGTACTAGTCTGCTGAAATAAAGACTTTCCTCAAACTAAGCTTTATTTTTCATCTCACATAAAATAAATTGTTTTACAAAGGTAAGTTGTCTCATGGCATGTATTTTGGCCTGAAAAATTGATGTTTTGGTTATAACGCGGCACCGCTTATAGTGCGGATTTTCGCGACTCCCGCGACATACGTTATATGCGGTCTACACTGTACTAACTAGCTTGCCGGAAAAGGTGAAGGCCGATAATTCTGAAAATATAGTTGGGGCAACTAAAAAAAACACTCGAAACATTATTTAAAAAGAGGAACATGGCAGCCTTCCTGGATGGGTTGGTCGGAGGGTCCCAGGGTTCACTCGGACTTAGAAAAGAAAGCGGTGGTGACAAAACAAATTGAGCAAACATAGGGAAAGCTAATGGGTTCCAGGAGTGTAGTTATCTTAGATTCTATCTGTTGCAAGTCTCCCCTCTGATAGGAATGCTACTGTAATGGCAGTGTGGCAGAAAACTTAGCACATGCAAGCGACCACCCATTGCTAAGCACACAGCATTCCTTTTCCCCTTCCCTTGATTATTGTTTTCTCAAAATTGCAAAATTGTGGGTATGTGTCTCTTGTGTGTTATCCTCATAGCTGTCGGCCAACTTGATGTGCTTGGATGGTGTGCCTACTTTATTCTTAATTATGGTCATTGCTCTTTGCATTTGGTTCTAGTCATCTCAAGTGGTGCCTTGCATTCTCCGTGATCTTACAAGCCTACTTAAGAAGCTGACTGCGGACAACTATTTGAATGGAACTGATTCAGTCCTCAAGTTGTGGTAAGATTTTGTTTCAACATCTTTCATAAAGAAAGGAAAGTGCTGGTGTCTAGACTACAGGTGGTCATAGCCCAGAGCAGCCCTTCTTGTACAGCTGTCTGCAGATCCCCACGGGTCTGTGCCGATTCTGAAATCCGCCACCAGTGATGCGTCCTCGGCGGAGCCCGGAGCTTCGATGAAAATGTGCAGTGATATGGTATATGCTTCAAAGGGAGAGAAGCAGGCATTGGAATTGAATTTTAGGGGAAGTTCATGGGCAGTGGAAAAGAAGTGTGAGGCAGTGTAAACTTTGTGCTCCTATATACGGGAAGGTGAAGATAAGGTAGAGCAGCGGTCTCGAACTCATTTGAGTGTGGAAACCATATACCTTGCCCCCAAAAGGATGAGAGCCGGACAATATTTTTTCTATTTTGGGACAAAAATATAAGCAGTGGTGTTTCACGTTGCAAAGCAGCCAACTGTCCCAGCGACGCCCCAGAGATTTTCTAGACAAGAAACGTTGCTGTCTGCTTTTTGTTAGCTCACCGTTTGCATCTTTAGCTTTCATTTGCATATATGACTACTTTGGGCCCATATAAAATGTTATAGGATTTAAAACGTTGCCACACCACAATACTGGCAGTTTTAAAGAAAATGAGAGCAAGCAAACTGTCCTTGCCCTGTTACCCAATTCACTAGGCTCAACAGCCATATAAAACTCTTCGTACTGCAGTCTTTTCTATCCTGTTGATTATAACAGTGTTTAAAAGAACATTGTTCTATTATGAAGGTATAGACCCTTTCCGAAATTCAGTGCCATCTGGTGGTTTGAATAGCAGTTTAGATTTTGCCATACCAATAGTGGCAATGAAATTGTATTTTATAGGGCACCGCCACTTTTGGAAGTCAATGGCAGGCGAGGAATAGTTCAATGTGCAGTTCTTTCTTGATCACTTTCAGTTTGATGGTGACTAAGAACCTGCAGTGAGAACAAAGCTCCAACCCACTCGGATGCCTTGATACAATTCCATGCACCAAAGATATTTAAGACAGATTGTGTGTCGCCCACAGATTTACTGAATCTGAGTTTGAAATAAATGCTTGCATAGCTTTTGTGTTCCATTCCTACGTCGCATAGTACCAACCCCAAAAGTACAGGCCTCGCATCATCCGCTTAAGCATCTTCAACGTCCTTTATCAGTCACTAGAAGGACGCCATTGGTACAGCACAGCTGCCGTTCCACAGATGATGATAGTGATCAGCGTGGCCAGTTTGAATTTCGGAAAGGGTCTATTGTCTGAAAGCTAGAAGCCCGAGCTCATAGCTTTATTTTTAGAAGTTCCCCCTGCTGAGCAAGAGTTAGTGTAGCCGAGGTGCCTCCTTGAGCAAAGGGGTCGCACTTGTAGCCTAGTAGTGGTATTGCTATCCTGGTTGATTTACATAAGAAAATAATGACAAGCCAATATTTAGACGAAGCAATACTCCGTCCAAAAGAATTCATATAGTGTAAAATATGTGAACACATATCAGCAAAGCTCCCGTTTGAGCGGAGATGAATCAATAATATAAAACCATTATTTGTTGTGCTCAAGGAATGGGAACGGGGGCTCACAGCCGCGTAATGCTTCCCAGAGCTTCAAGGGTTGTGTATTTGACCCCCTAAAGGGGTGTCCAAACAGGACAGTACAAAACGCACGACTCCGACAAATCGTGAAAATTGAAGCGGATGCGCCCGCTTCGCGCCCGCTTCAATTTTCACGATTTGTTGGAGTCGTGCGTTTTGTAGTGTCCTGTTTGGACACCCCTTAAAAGAGAGGAAGCGGGATTTCTGCCAGTTACAAGGGGAATGTTGGCAAACAATTTATGGTGTAGAAAATCATCCATTGCTTTCTAATTTTTTCTTCACGAAAAGTGCCACAGTTATCTAATTTTTGCGAACATCGGAGAAAACATTCACTTATCTTCCATACGTTATTTGTCCCTTAATTCTTGGCCATCTGATACGTCCATTTAGTAGTTCTTCAGCATGCTATCCTGTTGAAAATATTCGGGAAGGTAGCACGCAACAAACTACATCTGAAGGCCAAATGAATGTTTTTTGTTTTTTTTTCGTTCAAACTGGTTTTAATAAGGTGTTCAGGGTAACAGAGAGATGGTTGCAAACACTTGCAACTATAAAATTTTTTGTATTTCTTCATTCGCTAAAGAAAAAGATGGCATTGAGGCCGTGCCATCTTTTTCCATGTTGCATACATCTTTTTTTTGTGTGTGTGTGTGTCTATGTGGGGGGGTGCAGTTTGGTGATAAATACAAAACAAATGTGGTTTGGTTTTCTCGCCCACAAAGCAGAGCACAAAATAAATTTCTAATACTAGCCTACTTTGCATAAAAATTAAGATTGAGTAGGGAGAAATTTTTTAACAATTCAAAATGAAGTTGAGTGCTGTCTGAGGTAAAGACTGGTACAATAGACCGTAAGTTAAAGGTAGATATATGCGGAGGCACTGTGGGTACATGCGAAGGTAGCAGTGGAGGATGTAAGTATGGTATGTCCAGTGCGTACCTAAACCGAGGTGGACTTTTGTTTTGCTTTGGGATGGGATGGGTTGATGAAGGAATAGATCTCCGAATGTTTAAGCAAACTAAGAGAAGGCTGAAAGAATGGTGGAAAAAGCTAAAAAAAAAAAATTGAAGACAAAAAGAAAAAAAAATAAGCAGGAAGTTTTAGTTATACTTTGGGCAAAGTTCCTCAGGGGTTTGCTCGAATCAAAGTGCCATGCCCCAACTCATCCATCCATCAAGGATAAGAAAGATTGTTAGTCAAGAATCTTTACATCTAAATTTCACACAATGCTGTCTTGCTGGGTTCCAGGAGGCTGCCTCCGGTTTCCATTTATTTTCCTCCGATGCTAGCAAAAACTGGGTAGCACTAGCCAAATTACAATGGTATCCTTTCCCTAGGGACAGCAGTAAACTGTCATTGTGGGATGATGGCCATTGCGTTAAAAAAGGTGGAGCTTGCCACCTCTTTAGGTGGAACGGACTGAAATGGTTTCCAGTTTATTAGCGTGCACGGTGCTCAAAATGGGGCAAGTGTGAGGTGTTATCCATGAGTGGCGCTTCACTGCCCTACTGTGTGGACCCAGTAGTGGCATAAAAGAGCTGGCAGCACTGTAAAGTTTATTTTTACCCACTGGCACCAAATATGTGACTTAACTAAGGTCCTACTTTTCCCACATTTTATTCTTGGGCTAAACCAGAGGGTGTTCCGGTTTTAGTTCTTACCTAAAATTAAGTTTCTGTCAACAAAATGCAATTTCTTTTTGACGTTTTTTTTTAGCTATGTAGAGATTACCAAGTCAGCAAATATATTGAAACCGATTTTACAATGCAACTCTTAAACCTCTGTCTCTGGGTTGGCGGCGGAGCCGTCGGTGTAACTACACGTTGTCCTGCTCAGGAAGTAAGAATATATTGTTTATTAATTTCCCAACACTTGAAAAAATGAAGTCATGGGGTCTCATGATATCAGTTCTAACAAATCTAAGAAAATTGACTTCACAGTGCCAAGTCGTAGTGTCACACAGCGCTGACATTGTGTTCCCTGAGGTCACTTGACATCGTATGACATCATATTACATCCCATAAGGATTCCATGCTAAATGTAGTGCATAAATTGACATCTCATTTTAAAGTCATGTTGTCACCACCACCAATTACCCGCTGAAACTAGCGTGATGCTATGATGTGACATGGTCAAGGGACATTAGTTTTTCCATAAAATTTAGATGATACCATGCCATTGTCATGGTCATGTGAAAATTTTCCAACTGTTTTTTGGGAAGATTATGGTGTCACATGACTCTGATGGCTCATGTCACTGTTATGTCCTGACATCAAGACATCATGCACTCTGAGCAACATGAGTGTTGCTCTGAGTGCAACAAGAGCATTTATGAAACAAAATAAGTTTTAAAGTGGTGTACCTGGTTCACACTAATTAAACAATAGAGCCAACTCTTTTTAGTGCCCCTTTGGACAAAAATAAAGAGGAAAAAAGAAATTAAACCTCTCAGCTGAAGCAGAACTACAATAGTGACTGCCTATTTCTAAAACATCTTGCTATCTTGGTTGTGCTTTCCTAGTGTGTCCTAATACACAAGGCCTTGTTGGAGAGGGAGCTGCACTTTTGGTTGAGACCAGCTGCCCACTGAAACCTACCGAAAACAACCATGTCACCAGAGATCAGCTCAGGGTCGTGAGCCACCTGGTTGCCCATGGTGATGAACAACTCGAGTACCAGCATCCTCCGATGTCACCTGCCTCTAGGTCCCAAGTGTCCAGCAACACTGAAAAGCAGAAAAGTGAAAAGTTTTTCATGTGCAAGCTGTGTCCTCAGGCCTTTGCCAAGAATTCGGGTCTGATCCGCCATATTCGAACACACACTGCTGAAAGGCCATTTAAATGCAAGCTGTGCCCCCAAGACTTTGCTCAGAAATCTTCTCTGGTCCGCCATGAACGAACACACACTGCTGAAAAGCCCTTTAAGTGCAAGCTATGCCCCCAAGCCTTTTCTCAGAATTCCAATTTGATCCGTCATAATCGGACACACAGTGATGAAAAGTCATTTAAGTGCAAGTTGTGCCCCCAAGCCTTTTCTCAGAAGTCTGCTCTGATCCGCCATTATCGAACCCACACAGGTGAAAAACCATACAAGTGTAAGCTTTGTCCCCAAGCATTTGCTCAGAATTTCAATCTGATTCTCCATAATCGAAGACACAGAGATAAAAAGCCATTTAAGTGCAAGCTGTGCCCTCAGGCCTTTTCTCAAACTTCCAGTCTGATCTGCCATAATCGAACACACAGTGGTGAAAAGCCATTTAAATGCAAGCTATGCCCCCAAGCCTTTGCTGAGCATTCCAATCTGACCCGCCATATTCGAACACACACTGGTGAAAAGCCATTTAAGTGCAAACTGTGCCCCCAAACCTTTGCTCAAGATTCTCATCTCACAAGTCACATTCGAACACACACTGGTGAAAAGCCATTTAAGTGCAAGCTGTGTCCCCAAGCCTTTGCTAATGATTTTGTTCTGGTCTGCCATAATCGAACCCCTCACAGGTGAAAAACCATACAAGTGTAAATTGTGCCCCCTAGCGTTTGCTAAGAATTCCAATCTGATACGTCATACTCGAACACACCGGGGTGAAAAGCCATATAAGTGCAAGCTGTGCCCCCAAGCGTTTGCTCGGAACTTCAATCTGAAACGCCATAATCAAACACACAGTGGTAAAAAGCCATTTAAGTGCTAGATGTGCCCCCAAATGATTTCTGTCACAGGGGTCAAGAGGTTGGTCAGTGTAATAGCAAATTTTAAAGTTCTCGATAGATTGAAATAAGTTAATGTAGCTATAACTCTCATTGTTCCTTACTGAATGCACACTGGGCCGTCCTTTTGCTCTTGTTCAGAGCCGCTTTGCACTTGCTTGAGGTGTGATAATTTGAGGTCGGGTCTAATATGTTCATTTTTACTCCTGTCTGCATAAAAGATATGCACTTGCAGAAAATAAATGTGACCAAAGTTCAGTTTGACTATCTAAAAAAGTAGCTTTTGCAATTACCATACTGGCTTTTTTCTGCTTTTACAATACTGGTACTGTAGCAAGTGTGGAGTAATTTTTTAGGCTTTAATTTCTACGACCTGTGCTTGCCTTCCCATTTTAGGAACTCATTTTTTGAGTGCGTGTGTGCACTGCAGTGGTTTGTGCTCCCGATTTGAACCTTGCTATACTCTGGGACAACTTTTAGTGCAGTCAAAGGTACTGGCACACATTCCTTCTCCCATTTTGAGCTCTGATCAAAGCTGTGCGCGAGCTCTCCTCCGAAATACCAAGAAAAGCTGTCCCCGAGTATAGTCGTATAGTATAGTCCCAGACCGCCCAGCAGGTTTTACAATTGACAGCGTACCAATTTTTAATACTGTGTAATGCGTGTTCAATGCTGTGTTGGCAAAAGGTACAGAGAACTGAACTGACTTAACCTCGCCCATATTCGAAGTGTTCTTGGCTTTTTTCCGTTGCACTAGAATCTTCTTAATCATGTATTTATATGACCCCTGCTTTGGGATATTGCTCTTTTGTTTAAGTGATCACAATATTCTGTTGCCCTGTACTCTTGCTCTTGACGGTTGTTTCTGTGTTGCCTGGCTTGGTATGTCAGAATTCTCGGACCGTAGGTGTTGGGCACGCCAGATGATGTATTTTAGACTAACTCGTCCTTTATTTTGCTTGGCTTACTGGATTCTGTGGATTGTTGCTCAATGTGTGCTTAGGTTTGCATTGTGTAATGCATTTGTATCTATCTTCGTTCTGGATTTTCTTTCTTTCTCTTGTTTGTCTTGAATAAAATATCCAGATAAATGTGTAATCAGACTTCTGTAGTATCGGTGTTCCTCACAAATGAAGCTTGACAGTTCGAGCTTCCAATGTTATGTGGTTCTTTTTTAGCGATTGCAGATCTTAGCTGAAGTAAATGGGCCATTGGCAGAACAGCTCTCTCGTAAGTTCTTATTTTTCCATCCTCTGCCATGCTGGGACGTCACCGTGGCAGTTTTGTGGCCGTGAAATTAACTGCATAGTGGATGTGCATACCTCAGCACATAGGTTTGGATTGGATTGTCGTGGCCATCCCCTTCTTTTTTTGTGAAAAGAGTTCATGCTCTGCTCCAGCCAAAAGGAACTTGTAACTAAAGTGTGTCCCCCCCAAAAAAATTGCAGCATTTTTTTTCACCGCAAAAGTACACTATGCATTGCTGAACGTTCAGTCTGCGCCCAAATGTAACTAGCAGTTGGAACCAAATCCAAAGTTTCAGATCTTATTGAAAAGTTGTAAGCGAATTTCTGAAATTTTTTTATGAGAAAATGGCGGTCGATAAAGTTCTCGAATACACGGTGCTGAATGGCGCCACTTACTGAAAACGAGCGCCATTTACTGAAAAAGAGCTGAAATGAGCCTCATTTTCCCACTGAAATTTTTAGAAAATCACAACTTTTAAATGTGATGATGGTTAGTTCTGAAACTGTGCCATCTGGTTTGGACAGACTACACTTGGGTGTTAAATGACCGTTTGGCAACCCATTGTTTCTTTTATTTGGAGTGAAAACAAGACTTCATTTTTGGGGTAGATACCGTCAGGGTGTCGAACCGGAACCGAACCGAAAACCGGAACTGAACCGAACCGAAATCTTCGCCGCCATCTTGGAACTGAGCCGGAACCGAACCGAAAAAAAATGTAACGGTAACCGGTTCAAAACGGTTCAAGGTAATATTTTTTTTCTTTGCCAGTATCACAAAATGAACATATGGGAATAAACAATTGGCGGCTGTAATTCTATCTGTTGATCGAATCGTCATATACATAATTGCAACGTAGGATAAATTGTGGGTTTTTATAGCACCTTTGTTGGCACTATGATTAACCATGCATCAAGTTGTCACGTGACGTCATGGTGTCAATACATGTTGTCAAGTAATGTCACGTGGCCTCGTGACGTCACGTAACTCACTGCGTTAAATCGATTCAATTTGAGGAAATCACTAGATGTATTAACCTTGTTACAGCATGACGTAACATGACCACGACTTCACACCGAGAGTCACGTGACACCGTGACGTAAGCGATTTTCATAACCCCTAGTCGAGTGCTCGGGTTCATGACAATCAGCATGGCCAAACATTCAGGTAACGGCTCATGTCAATTAGATATGATAATCAATAGCCCAACACTAACAATATCTGAAGCTCAGCCCAAGCTTTTGCTTTGCAAACCCTTGCAGCCTAGGGCATGACTGCGATGAACACTGGCGGTATATAATTAGGGTCAGATCACGTGGCCGCTTGTTCAAATTGCGAGTTGAGGAGATATCGACAGCTGTCTCTGTCCTTTATTTTTTCTGCGTCTGTTATTAGGGGAAAACTAATGGATGTTTCCGCAACCTATCAACGTCACGGGTTATTTCTTAACACTATTTATTGAAAGTGCAAAAAAAAATGTTGCAAGACCAATTTTACATTATTGAGGCATTGAAACATTTTTTTCGTTGTTGCTGAAGTATATCCGAAAGATGTCCCTGAGAATAGAAGTTTTGAAATGACTAAATGCGACCTATTAATATGACGTTACATAGAACTACACGTGTGTACGGAAGGAATATCTTAAAGAAGAAGATATTTTAGTGACGTGAGAGGAACAGCCGAACGTTGGCAGTCGCTGTAAGTTTCACACGAGCGTCGTTCTCAAGTTATTGCCCAAGTTTCGACCCCTCTGTATTTTGTTTATATGAGCTATAACATATTTCTATACATTACCAAATACTACTCAGGATCAGTCCCTAACGTTAATAACTGATTGAACTTGGCTTTGCTCTTTTTTCTAGGCAATGGTAGTCGCCGAAAAAATTAGAGAAATATGAGCATCGTTCATCCCCTCAACTTGGAGCCAGAAGCGGCCACGTGGCCTGGTGCCTATCTTATGCCGCCAACAGGCATTGTTAGAGTTCGACTATTCTCATCACCACAGTGGTTGGACATGAGCCACTACCCAAGTGTCCGCCGAGGCATTGATTGTTACGAGCCGATGTACGGTGCTCACACAGTTCTCCTGCCCAATCCATGAGTCGCGCTCGACTGTCGACAGGCGGGTGGTTTTGATCCCACAATTACGACATAAATATTTGAGAAGGCAAGACTAAAAGAAATAGTCTCGTTCAATCCTCGCAATTTCACCGCGACAAAGAAGCTTCTGAATCAGTGGCGCCCTGTGCGAGTGCACTTGGACCAGGGGACCAGTATGCCTCGGAAAATTCATGCACATTCCAACACGATATCGTTTCATGACCCCTTTAAAGTTCACGGGGTGCAAAATAAAAGCAATGAAAGGTTGCGGTTAACAAGTGTCAAATAAAATTGTCGAATTAACAGACACAAACGAAGGAGGCATTTCCTCAGGAATACTTTCAGTCTTTCCACTCTGGTGAACAAGGAAGGCCAGAAATGCTGTACTATGGTGGGAATGAAGTAATGGCCGGCCGCAAGTCAGCAAGCCAGACTGGAAAGGCTGGAGGTGTTGCCGCGATTTATGAGCGACGGTGGCAACCAAACAACTGGCAAGCCGGCTGTCTGGTTGCCGTCGCCATTTATAGATCGCGGTAACGCATGACTAGCCCTTAACAGCACCACTGTATAAAGAAGTGCGTCTGTGTGTGGGGCCGGGGGGGGGGGGGGGGGGGGGGGTGGGGGGGGAAGGGGGAGTTTTAGAAACACTACTGTGTTGTAAAGGTTCCTCTTCCCTGCATCTTTGGCGCAGACCAAAAAGCGTGACCCTGGAAACTACTTTGATTGGAAAAGCGCTCTTGCCAAAAAGCACGTTTTTGTCGTGCCAGACGCTGGCGCCGTTCCTCACGACGATGCACTATAGAATAATATTTCTAGCCTTTCAAATACTTTGCTTTCACTGAGCTTGCACCTCCTGTAGCGTGCCTTTCGCACCGTCGAATTCGACTTTCTCAGCAAAAAGGAATCAGAATGACCACCAGCCTATAGTGTGATAACGTCACGTGCATACCATGCTAAATAGTTCAGCTTTCTGGTGAAATATGATGTTCGCAACACTAGCCATAGATGTCCTAATTGTAAATTCGTGAAGTATTTATAGCAGTCTCGCGATGAGATATGGCAGCCTAGAGAAATGTGAGAACGCATGACTATTCTAGCGTAGCGCTGTAAAGTGAGGGCCCAAAACAAGTGCAGGTAAAACCGAATATAACATTTGCCTCCCGAGGCAGTATTTCGGAGTTTCGAGCTCATGCAATCTGATGATATGTAATATACTAAGATTTCAAGAATCTTTGTCTGTCCTTCGTGCTATTTATGTAAAATCATGAATATCATTGCGTGCATCTTTACGCATCTCTTTTTGCGTTCTGGAAGGGATTATTTGGAAAACATAACATTAATTTTTTTTTTTGAACATTTCGTGTATTTGATTTCCAATTCATCATGTGAGCATAGAGTCCTTTTTAGCGTACCCTGCAACCCGATGTTTCACACTGCCAATCAGCAAACAGAAAAACACTTTTACGTGGACTCCACAGCTCGCGTAGTTTCGAGTATCGTCCTTCCGTGTCGGTCTCAAGCGGCGATGTGAACTTTATAAAGTAAATTTTTTTTATCAATATAAAATATATTTAATTACAATGCCCCCCAAATTAGTTGAAAGCGGTTCTGCCAATCTCTTCCGGCGTTTTTATCCTCGACAGCACGTTGTAAGTGATATGGGACGGCTTTACATACATTTCTGATTTTGAAGCTAATTTAAATAACTATGTGTTCCTCACACATATAACTTCTCAAACATATAGAAGTCTGTTATTGCCTTTTTTATCTGGTGAACATTGGTTTTATGCGTCTGTGGGGCTGGACGAAAAGAAAGTAAACAGGGGCGCGCGGTGGAACTATGATGATTACGCACGCAAACCGTCAGAAAGTGTCCAATTAAGTAGCTGCCTTGTCGAGTAGAACGTGAAATACTACTTCGTTTACATAAACAAAAAAGAATTTTGAAGGACGCTTAAGCTTCGCCTTTAAAAGTGGAACGCGATCGCGTCAACGGGCCTCGTTTGCATCGCATTCTCATTTGCCGCGCAAGCGTGCCTCGCGTGGTCTAGTGAAAAGCGTCTGACTCGCAACTGAAGGGTTGTGGGTTCGAATCCTGCTTAAAATATTTAATTTTTTCTTTAAGGCAAAGGAATTACTTTCAAAAGTGAAATAATTTGAAACATACGGTGACCTTTATATCGCATATATATTAGTTTTAATCACCCTCATTCCACGCGTGATATCGCGTTTCACGTAAGCATTGTGGGTTGTTTGAAATTCTTGCGCTAGGGTATGTAGCTCTGATGTCATGACCCATCAGGATTTTCCAGTCACGCACCCGACATCGGTTTTTCTGCGACATGAGCTCGTTAACGCTATCGTGTTAAAATCATCAATTAGCAAGGGTGATGCTCATTTGCAAATTAAATTGTCCGGCATCTTGTTAACAACAAACCTCAACAGCCAGGCTATGCCAGCTTATTCTGTTTAAGAAAATGTTCACTTAGGCAAGCGCTATTTTGGGCCAGATTCGATCTGAGTGCGAAGGTGCGTATATATTAGAGTGAACATTTGCAATTACTCCTTGCTCCATGATTAGTCGCATGCGTGCGGTGCTGAGAGTAAACAATGTTTGGTTAGAACAACAGGCATTTGGATTGCCGCTCGGTGTTTCTATAAAAGATAGACTGAAAGGAGTTATCCTAAAACTTTGTTACATTTCGAAAATTTCATTGCTTTTAGCTCAGTTGGGTCGTCATCATATATATATA